AAGGAGGTACAGGATGTGGATCGTCTCTTAAAATGCATTTCCTGCACCGCCGCACGCAAAGTCAACATCGCTAAGTGCGTAAAGACCAAATGACCCGGAACGCACGTGGAGGGTCATTCCACGGTTCGCAGAGGGCCGGGCCTGGGGCAAGGCACCACTCACCAAATAGGCTGCACAGCTTGTGGGCACCACGGGGCCAAGTGCAACAACGCGTGTTGTTGCAGCAACACCAGCAGCAGCAGCAGCAATGCGTGTTGTTGCAGCAACATGAGCAAGTTGCTGCAACAACACGCGTCGCTCCCTTCACCAACCCCCACTGACCAGCGTGAGTCAGGCGTGCGGAGCCCCTCGTCCAGCAGTGGATACACAACAGGGGCGCCACCTTTACCCACGTCATTTCCCACTCAAGTGAATTTGGCTTGGCATTCATTTCTCGGTTTGCAGCCCTCAGCCACTGCAGGAGACTCCACATTCTTATGGTGGGGATGAGTCCATCTGTAGGGCGACCACCTCTGTCGACATTTGGCAACTCGCACTTAAGTTTAACCGAGCCACAAGGTACGCAAACAGTGCCCCCACCCCCCCCCTGCCTCTCTCTGCCTCAGAAGAGCCGTGCCAGGGCGACAAGTCCATCTTCTGCCAGATGGAGGTGCTGGCGCGCTACTGCTCCATCCCTGGCTACAACAAGCTGTGCTGCGAGTCCTGCAGCAAGCGCAAGGCCTCCTCCGCAGTCACCACCAAGCCGGGCGAGCCGCGGGGCGACCGCCCGGACCCCACGCCCTCGCCGCTCGACGCGCCGTCGTCCGAGCACGGCAACGCCGCGGCCGCCGTCCCCGGCGCCGTGGGACGCCCGTCGCCGCGAGCGGGACCCGGGGCGCCGACGGCGGACGAGTTTTTGCGACGGCGGGACACGAACGACGACGGCTACACGGAGGAGGACTTCGAGCCGGTGCAGATCGTGGAGGTGGCGCCGCTGTGGGGAGAGGGAGACGGCCACCGCCGGGAAGGAGGAGAGGACGGGACGGCCGCGGCCGACGGGCCGCGCGGCCAGACATGAGGACCCTCCCCGACGCCCCGCCGGCCCGGCCGCCCCCCCGGTTTGCGAACGCCGAATTACCTTCCCTGCGGTCGCGGGGAGAGACGGGGGCGCTCGCGTCGCCCGTTTTTCGGAAACGAGCACTTTTGAGGATACGACTTCTTCCGTCGCCGGCCATCCACGCCGTCGCAGCGCACCCCCGGGGGCAGTGTGTGGATCATGTGCGCACCGCTGGACACTGAAGTGAGCGTTGAATCACTTCACGGCGCGCGCCAGGGCCCCACCCCCTGGCTTTTAACGACCATCTCAAACATTTCAATCTCCCCCTCTGCTTCTAGCTCTGGACTCCGTTCCGCTTGCTGTGGTTTATTATTTTTCTTATTCTCAGCATTAACTTTTTATTGTAGAAGTGGACTTTACTCCCCCCCCCCCCCCCCGCCGCCGCCACCCCCTTGTCCAGTTAAGTGGACCCGTTCACTTTGAATTTGCACAACCACCCCGCCCTGCCCCCACCCCCCCCAATGGCATTTTCACAAAACGCAGGCATTTAACAATTAACACGAAAGTCATCCCGTCAAAAAAGTTAGACGTGTACAATTAACCAGTTGTGTTGGCGGGGGGGGGGGGGGGGGGGTAGTGGGAAGGTCATTGGAGAATTTAGTCACCAAGCAGAATGTGTTTCGCATTAGGGGTCATTCTCAAGCCAATTAAGCACTGTACATACGCTCACACGTCAGTATTTGCGCAATCAGCAACGCCCGCCTGCAGAACCCGTCCCCGTGCGTTTGGGAATGGGGGGGGGAGCGGCGCTCGAGTTTGTAGTTTTAAAGTTTCGTTTTGCCTTGGAAGCTGCACACAAACGGTTCATGTTAACATGAAACTCGAGCAACGTCATTTGAGACTTGTATAGTACGTGTACATATATGGAACAAAGCAGAGCGATACTATTTATTGGCCTCTTGTTGTTAGCAAGCTAAAGGTTTTGTTTTGTAATAAGCTGCTTCAGTGTAACTAAATGATTTTTTTAAAGCACCACCTCAGTTGTATTCCTGTGTATTGGCAGCAGTGTAAAGTATTCAGGGAGGGCTCCCCAAAGCGCACGTTTTCTCTTTGTCTTTAGCAGTTTTTAACCTACGCCGCTCCTTTTGCACCTTATTTAAAACTTCCCGCGGCCAAATCTCTCCCGAGCTGGAGCTGCAGGCACCAACGGAGAAGCCGTCGACGGAAGAGACCGCCTGGACCGATCCGTGCAGAGCGTCGGCGAGAGCCGGGACCCGGTTACGTCACGTGATGTAAATAAAAACTTCATGCAGATGCACGCCGCGTGGTTGTCCAGCTGCGTCGTGCGCGGGAGGCACGGTGCCGGCTAAGGCGTTCCGCGTTTTTCCGACTTCGCTCGGGGTTTTTCGACTTCTCCCCCACCCCCCTGCCAGACGCGGTCTCCGTAGACCACAGTGGCTGAGCAGTGCAATGGGACTTTTGACAGGGTGACGGACGCTGCCAGTGGGTGCAGACGCGCGGGCTCACCGATTGAGACTCCGTCCCAAGCGCTTGTCGTAGACCAAGGCGGCTTGTGGGCAGCAGCAGCAGCGGCGGCGCCGGTGTGCACGCACAACACACCAGCAGGCGTAACGGCGATGACGACAGGGTGCACAATAAAGTCCGAGCGTGCATTTTAAATCAAGGCTATGGAAACCTCAAATGTGTACGATGGTTACATTACGCTGGACACACTGGGGGCACACGTAGGGAGGGGGGCTCATTTAACTGGCCGGTGAACTGTAGCTGACAACCAGGAGAGAGAGGAGGGTGGTGGGAAGGGGGAGGGATAAAGGTGCAGACTTCCCAGCAGAGGAAAATGGCCTCGGCCAAAAGCAGTTCCAACTCCCAGCCCCCCACCGCTCTCTCCACCGAACCTACATAACGACCAGCGCGGTGACATCGAGCAAACAGCCTCGATGGCCTGCAGTGTGGAGCATTTATCCTTAATACCAAGCGTGCCAAGCATTACAATTATTGTTACTGTTACTTTACCACAAATTGGTCCTAGTTTTTATTTTTTATTTTATCAATCTTGGATGTCAGGTCAGGTACACTAAGCACATTCACCACCCTTGGTTAAGGGTCTCAATACTCAAGACATTTGCCGCAGGGGTATAAAGAAATCTTACACTAAATAGCGAAGGTTTTTTTTGGGTTAGATCGCGTAAATGTGTCGTTAAACCCGCCACAGCCAATTAGTAAGGTTTGTCACGTAAACAGAACACGCCAATTCGTTACTAGTTCAGCACACCGGTGCGTTGGAGAGTGAGCCCACGACATTTACAATTAGAGTATGACATTTCACCGGTGATTACAACCAACCTCATCAGGTGACAGCCAGAGTTGTGGAGAAATCCTCCAGTTTCGGTCTTACATAGAGGGATACATGTCGTCACTTGTCAGCAAATCAGGTGAGAAGACCAGAGGGGGGGGGTTTAATATATTCATATACATTACAATGGATAGCTCTAGTATTGGTGTTATTCACAGTTAATCACCATACATAATTTATGTACATGATGTAGGGGAGCATTTATTTTACCGGCTCGGCGTGACGGCACAGTCCGGAGAGATTGTCCGCTGTGCCGCTGACGGCGCCTCGCGGCACCGATCAGACATCCGCCCCACTCTCTCGGTCCTCTCCGTCGTAAGGCGTGGCGGTTTAAGCTTGAACTTTTTTTGTTAATTGTGGAAGCAAAAAAAGCAATTGTTCTGTCCTGCGAATTGTTGTGAACGCTTCCCACCACCACTGGTTCCAACGTTTGGTATTTTGGTTCAATTACGGATACCCGGTGATTTAACCACACCGTTTCGTGCATAAACACGGGCGTAACGTTTCAAATCCATTATTCAGCTTTCAGATCCGTGCATCCAACTGGGACGGAGGATATTTAAATTCCTTGGATCTTATACTCTTTGGTTTTTTCGGTAAAGTCACGTAGGTAGAAAAAAAAGAAACAAAAATAAATGAAAAATAAATAAAATCCTTGCAGTCATGAAAGCTTCATATCTAGAATTGCTTAGATCTGTATATGCCTAGGTTCGTTCAAAAGACCCACCCCGCAACCAATGGGTGACCTACAATGCATCACCGGGCAGAAAATCGTCGGATTCTTGAATGGAATCAGGACCCAGAATCGTGACAATTCATGGAGTCTCGATGGGGGGAAACATGTTCCTGGATTAATGCGTAGCCCTCAACTGAGTGGTGAGGGGCACCTACGCCCTGCGGCCAACTTGAGGGCCTACCGCTTCAGAACTGCTCGCAAACCATATTCGTCTGCCACCGCACGCATATTAGTTGCGCTAATCGGCGACTCGGGGGGGAGAATATTTTTTTACCTGGCAACACTGCGCTCCGTCACTCGCGTCATCGGCAAGGGCCTCTCGCAGCGACGGGTGCGACCACATTGTGTGCGTGCGTGTGTCTGCGCAAACGTGTGGTAGCCGCCAGCGTGACATCAAAGTCGTAGTTGGGCCTCCGTCGGGAAGAGGTTCGCCCCCGCACACCCCACAGACTACAGTTCTATACGCGCGGATTGTGCAAACAGGGAGGCGCTCAAAAGTGGGGCGACACCCGCCGGGAACAACGCGCCCCGATGATCGGCCGTGTGGAAGAGGGCAGACTGGAATCGGAACGAGGGAGAGGGGGGTGGGGGGTGGGTCAGCGGTGGAGAAGACGTGGAAGGACTTGCCATGAGGAGATGACGAGAGGAATAGAGTGATCAGTGGGAATGATCAGAGGGATGAGTTACAAACAACTGGCGGAGGGAATGGAGAGAAGCAGCCTTCGTTGAGCAAGAGGAAGTTGTTGGCAGTTAGGGAGAGTGTCGCAGGGTCCCGTCCGACCGTTGACCTCCGCGCGACCCCTCAACGTGCACCACCGCCGTTCCCGTCAAATAAGCACGCGGGGCATCACAAGTTTTATGCATGAACTTCTTCCACGTTTAATGAACATGAAGGTAAATAGTTTCACATTTAAGTGTCTTGTCTACACAGAGCAGAGTCCCTAGAGGCCGACTCTTAAACTCAACGTTCGCCAACTCATGTGTGTGTAAACGGTACATCATACACCGCTTCAACAATCTAAGTTAAATGTTAAATCCTTAACCTTACATCCCTCCCTCCCTTTCCTTGCGCTACGTCATCTTTAATCTGGTTATAAGTGAGCAGGATACTCCACTCGAATCGTATGCAACTTATCTCAGGCGAATAACATCAAGGGTGCCCCCCCCTTTTGCCGTTCCCTGTTCACTCTCCCTCTCTCTCGCTACAGAGGGGGTTCCTTGACTCACTATTTTCGTCTGGGCAGCTGAAAATCTGTGAAGCCCGTCTTGTGCTAGAAATTCAGCGGGGGGCAACGGCACGGAAAAAAATTTAACCGAATCACTGGTAACTTTTCGTGTAAAATAAAAAAAATAAAAAATAACAAATGAAAAAAAACGGTTTTTTTTTTGCAGATGTCAGGACAAACAGCAGCAAATGAAAACCATCAAAACCCTGGGTGGTTCCACGTACAGGCTTTGTTGAAGTAACCGGCGGAGAATGTGCTCCTGTATGCGTCGTCGGAGAGAGACGGGCAGGGATTTGCGGACAGCAGTGGGAACGCTTTTGGGGCTTTTTGTTTATCTTTATCCCATGTGGTTGAGGTGCAGGCTGTTAACGTGGGCCTCCCAGGGCCCCGGCCACATCTAAAGCCGTGAACACAAACATGCGAATCGTTAACATGCGAACCCCCCCCCCGCACACCGGCGTTACGGTCAGGCACAAACATTGCAAAGCGATGGCTTGTGAAACGCAAGGAGGCGACACGCAAATCGGTCTCGGCGAATACGTCATCCATTTTGTTTTCCGGGCTGCGCCGCGCGGGATGAGTGCATGCCTAGGCAAGGGCAGCTGCGTGAACGGCTTGCGGCCAGCAGGGGGCCCCAGCAGGCCTGGGTTTCACTCCCTGCCACCGAACACCAGAAACTCGCTCGCCCGCTCCTACCCACTCCCTGGGTAGACCAGTGCCCTCAGGGCGGCGGTGGTGGGGGGGGGGGTGTTAATTAACTTCACGAACGCCCTGTGCTTGCTATTAACGCAAGTGCGTGCGTGTACACTGCTGGCGAATGGGTCAAAAGGCACTCGCACGCATGACCAGATGCGTGTGTGCGTGCGTATGCATGTGCGTGCACGCGGGCGCGAGTGTGGGTGCCGCTTGCCTGCTGGTTCTGGGCCGCGCCGGCGTCGGCCGGGTTCACCACCTTGAGGAGGGGGCTCCAGTTGGGGTCGGCGCCCCCCGGGCAGGGCCCCCCTCCCCGGGGCCCCCCAAACACGCCGGGCATCGAGCCGTCCATCATTGGCATGCCCGGGCGGATCAGGGCCCCCCCGTACAGCGACATGGGGAGAGTCTGTGGTGAACGCAAATTAATTCATGCAGAGCTGAGACGAGTAGTCAACAGAGTTGATGAATTGACTTGACTGACAGTGAAGTACTTTTTTCATGGTTCGTTAAAATTACACGCTGGATTTGGGGAAAAAAAAAAGTTTTTTTAAACCAGGTTATGAAAATAAATTAGGTAACTATACCACGGTCAATAAATTGAGTTCTGAAATTATTTTCAAAAGAATGTTTTGACAAAAGCAAAATGACTGTGCGGCTGAAAGGACGAATGAATTGCAGCTGTCATACGTCAGCTGTGTGGCACGTCAGCTGTGTGGTACGTCAGCAACACTTTGAGGATAAGGACTGGCATTTTAAGGGCACTTAGATGCCCTAGAAACTCAAGGTACATGACATCAACATCTCAAGCGAAGCATTCCAAAGGCCAGCTTCAGAATTATAGTTTCAGCCAAAGGAAACCCCCTGATGGCAGCCGCTCCTTTGCAGCACAAAGCGACTCAGCATGGGTCAATGTTGTTTTCAGTTATTCCAATTAAGCGATTTGATTTTTTTGGTGTCAAAAATGGACCTTGATTTGCCAGCACACATGGCAGTTAGGAAATAATTACATTTGGCAGTATCCACCATTTCCGCTTAACACACAACGCAGCCTTACCCCAGCCTTTTGAAAGTCCATGTAGTTCCCTGGAATTGGCTGGAAATTTGAAGGGTTGATCACTCCAGTGTTGTCCCTCTCCATCGGCTGGTGCTGGTTATAGACGCAGGGGTCCATAGGCGGGCGGTGACGGAAGACGGGCGTCTGCGACCAGTCCGACATGTTCTCTGCGAGAGGGTCAAAGCGCGCGGAGAGACACCGGTCAGCGGACTTCCTCCACATGCGATGGAGAGCGCGACCGAGGGGGCGCCCCTAAGCTGGGCTCACCACCTTGTCGCGTGTAAACGTGGGCCCTCTCCGGCCAACTCTGCCGCAGTCCTGAAAGAGACGGGGGTCAGGACAATTGTCAAGACACAGCGGCATCCGCCAATATAACCGAACCTATGCAGAGACCCGTATTTACAAAAGGCTTCTTGTGACGGAACAACTATCCAGTACTGTCCGAGCAAGAATTACACACCCGTTTGACGCTCACATTATACTCATACGCACGTTGACACCGGTCACTGCCTAATTTATGCAAAGTACGAATGTTCTCGCTTAACGGCTGAAAGCAGAAAAATTGCTTCCAGGAGAGACCATGGGCACAAGTGTAACGTGAGATCTCTCGATGCCCGAGCAGCGTTACTCTCCTGCTGCCAGATGATTACTCAGAGCCCCGGGAAAGGAAATCAATGTAAGATGATAGCACCACATTGACCAGGGACACTGAGTGTCATTTTGCTTGGCCATTATCATTAACTGTAAAATATTCATGTTACTCTGATGACACGTGGTACGAAGCTACGTGTACCTTTATCCTGGAATGTATTTAACGGTGATGGGGTGCGTAGAGTGATGATGTATTCAATAAATATATTTTAAAATGTTGCCCGCCTTAACCACGGCTAAAACCACATCTCGACGTGACGCACAACCCTAGCGGACAAACCGCTTCCACAACAGATAACGTCGCGCGTAACTCAACAACCGTTATCAACGCCGCCAGATTTTCAGGGCCCGGCGTTCATTGCTCTCCTTTGCTCTTATAGGCATCACCGGTAACCCTTTGCACCCCGCGCTCACCCTCAAAAACCTCACAGCAGCTACGCGACCCGATACCGCGTCAAACCCCCGGATACTCGGGGGGGGGTGGGGGATGACGGACGCGAGCGTCGCGCGAAATCCGTCACGAGTCCCCCCCCCTCCCCGCACCGCTACCGTCGCCGCCGCCACCGTTTGCCGCCGCCATCGCCCAGGCGAGTGTGGCCACGAAGCCTAACCCGAAGCCCGCAGCCGAGCGGCCCTCCCACCAAGCGTGTTGGAGAAGCTCCAGATGCCTCCGTGGGGGTTGGCGATGCCCGCCCCGATGCCGGGCCCCAGCTGCGTCATGTTGCTCGATTGTCGGATGCGAGCCAGCCTCTCCGTGCCGATCGGCGTGGGCACCTTGCGGTCCTGCCCGCCGCTCCCGACGGGCTTTTGCTGACCTGCGGGTTTTTAAACGAGGGCGTTTGGGTGAATAAGGTAGCGGGGCCCCAAGGAGATTTCAGCCAAGCAATGGATTCCTGACTATCTGTGCGGAGGTTTTACTGAATGAATGGGATTTCTCCAGATACTACAGTTTCCTCCCACAAGACGCCAAACGCTAATCAATGGCATTGGCCTAACATCAGATTAGAGCAGAAACCTCCTTAAAATGAGTCTTGAGATGCAGCCAGGCCTTTTTAAAATTAAATACAGGGCACAGTTGTAGTTCACGTCCCTTGGTGTACACACAGCATTACGAGACATTCAGACATTATCAGATAACAGTTATCAGGTAGAAGTCATCAGACAGGAGTTATCCGGCGAGAGGTTATCGGACGTTGCGGTGCTGCCGTGCATACCTGCTGCCGGGCCGGGCACAAACTGCTGCCCTGGTCCCGTGCCAAGAGGCATGCCGGATCCAGGTGGGCCTCGCACCGGCACGGATCCCGGAGCCGCTCCGGGGTGGAACTGGGCCTCCAGGCTCATGAGTCCTGGGCAACGACAAAGATCCCGCTTGTGGCCTTCAAAAAGAGACTTCTGGGGCAAGCGCAGATAGCGAGCACCTATGAAGGCCGACACGGCACACAGAAAGGGTGGGGGTGGCCAGCACCACGACCGGCAGCCTTCGTCTCCCCCACACCGCAACAGGCGCTCACTAAAGGCCAAGTCGACAGGGGAGATATGCGTCACCGATGTTAACCATGAGCGGGAATCGAACTCTGGTCGCTAGTTTCATAGAGCGGTGCGCTAGCCGCAACACTACGACGAACATAAGGCCCAGACACACGGTGGGAGCACGCACACACACACACACACGGTGGGAGCACGCACACACACACACACGGTGGGAGCACGCACACACACACACACGGTGGGAGCACGCACACACACACACACGGTGGGAGCACGCACACACACACACACGGTGGGAGCACGCACACACATACACACACGGTGGGAGCACGCACACACACACACACACGGTGGGAGCACGCACACACACACACACACGGTGGGAGCACGCACACACACACACACACGGTGGGAGCACACACACACACACACACGGTGGGAGCACGCACACACACACACGGTGGGAGCACGCACACACACACACACACGGTGGGAGCACGCACACACACACACGGTGGGAGCACGCACACACACACACGGTGGGAGCACGCACACACACACACGGTGGGAGCACGCACACACACACACACGGTGGGAGCACGCACACACACACACACGGTGGGAGCACGCACACACACACACACGGTGGGAGCACGCACACACACACACACACGGTGGGAGCACGCACACACACACACGGTGGGAGCACGCACACACACACACACACACGGTGGGAGCACGCACACACACACACGGTGGGAGCACGCACACACACACACACACACGGTGGGAGCACGCACACACACACACACACGGTGGGAGCACGCACACACACACACGGTGGGAGCACGCACGCACACACACACACGGTGGGAGCACGCACACACACACACACACACGGTGGGAGCACGCACACACACACACACGGTGGGAGCACGCACACACACACACGGTGGGAGCACGCACGCACACACACACACGGTGGGAGCACGCACACACACACACGGTGGGAGCACGCACACACACACACACGGTGGGAGCACGCACACACACACACACACACGGTGGGAGCACGCACACACACACACACACGGTGGGAGCACGCACACACACACACGGTGGGAGCACGCACACACACACACGGTGGGAGCACGCACACACACACACACACACGGTGGGAGCACGCACACACACACACACACGGTGGGAGCACGCACACACACACACGGTGGGAGCACGCACGCACACACACACACGGTGGGAGCACGCACACACACACACACACGGTGGGAGCACGCACACACACACACACACACGGTGGGAGCACGCACACACACACGGTGGGAGCACGCACACACACACACGGTGGGAGCACGCACACACACACACACGGTGGGAGCACGCACACACACACACACACGGTGGGAGCACACACACACACACACGGTGGGAGCACGCACACACACACACAGGTGGGAGCGTGCGCACACACCATGTCGGCCGTGGGTTTATAGTTCAGTGTGCTAACAACGGTTCCACCGCTTCAGCCTGGAACTTATAAATCGTAGCTACTTATATCATTAAGAAACCAGTGGTTCTATGTATAGTCTAGTGTTTGCCAATGTACCCCTGAGGCAAGTAGAGTTGCTGATAAAGAATTAGACAAGCAGTCCCCAATATAAACCACACATTGCGATTTCCCATAAAGACTTGAGACCAGCGGTCGCACCCCAAGTCTATCCCCGACTCACACCACTGATGCATAACTTGACTTACTGCACACTTTGCAAAGGTGCTCATCAGCAAGCCGAAGGCCGGTGCCATTGGTAATGACCGACGAGCTCTGGAACCTGGGAACTACCTGTCGTGAGCACAGTGCACGGGGACGGCCGCTCACCGGTCGGGCTCAGCGTAGGCCTTGGTCCCGCGGGCCTGAATCCCGGCGCCTTGGCAGCGGCCTCCGCCGCCAGCGAGGGCTCCGACTGGCTGAGCACGGCGCTGGCGCTCAGGTAGGCGTTGGCGTTGACCGCGGCGGCGTTCACTTGGCCGCCGGACGCCAGCATCGGCTCGGGCGTGCTGATGGACCTGCCCGCCCCCCAGCTGGGGCCGCACGACGGGGGCGCCGCGTTGGCCGCGCCGACCACGGCCGCCGCCGAGGAGCCACCGCCCGCGGTGTTGAGGTGCGTCGGGTCGAAGTAGCTCCCGCTGAAGGGGCTGTACTGCTGCAGGGGCACGGATGGGTAGCTGGGGGGCATGGAACTCGCCGAGGTGCCGCCAGAAGGAGCGACGCCTGCCGAGGCGCAGGTGCCCTGGGCTGCCGCCGCCGCCGCCGCCATGGCCGCGTGGCTCTGGCTCGACATGCAGGCCGAGGGGACGCTGTGTGGCCGCTGGATGGGGCCCGGCTGCACCGACGCGGCTGCCTGGAGCTGCTGCTGTTGCTGCTGCTGCTGCTGCGCGGCGCCTTGCTCCGTCTGGTAGTGACCGGCGCCCACGTGCATGATGGGGCGCACCGCACTCGCCTGCTGCTGCTGCTGCTGCTGCTGCGGCGGCGGAGCCACGGTCTGGAGCGGCTGGGCGGACGACGCGGGGGTCGTCTGAGCGGACTGCGGGGGTGGCTGGGCCACGCCGAACGGGACGTTGATGCCCTGCGCCATCTGCGGCTGGGCGGAGACGGACGGCGCCGGCGCTGGCCCCGTGACCCTGACGGGCGGCGGTGCCGCCACCGCCCTGGGCGCGGGCTGCTGGACGGACTGCGGGTGGGGTTGTCGGAGAACGTCCGGAGAACTCTGGTTTCCGAGGGCGGAGGTGGAGGTAGGGTTATTGCCAACGTGAGCCGAGGAGGAGCTGGACACGGTCGCTGTGCCCAGCTGGGGTGTGGGCGCCCTGCCCGACGAGAAGCCCATCTGGGGCGGGTGAGCCGAGGCAGTGGTCATGGATGGCGGGGGCGCTTCTCTCGAATTCGCTTCCTTCACGCTCACTGCAGCCACAGGATGACCGTGCGTGGCAACCGATGGGGCCTGCGCGTTCTTATGCTGGTGCTGCTGCTGCTGCTGTTGCTGCTGCTGCGTTGCCACAGACGGCTGATTGCCAACATTGGCGGACGCGTTGGCGGCATGCTGGGGTGTGGGCGACGGGGAAGAGGACGACTGCAAGTTGCCGGGAAGCCTGCTGGTGGCCGACGCGGCGACGTTGACGCCGCTCGGCTGCGGGCGTGTGGTGGGCGTGGCGACGGAGGTCGTGGTCACGGAGACCGTGGAGGCAGTGGTCGTGGAGGCAGTGACGAAGGAGGGGGCGGCCGAGGTGACGGTCGCCGTGACGGCAGTGGCGTTGGCAAACAGCTGCTTGCGGACAGAGCTGTGCTTCGGGCTGCTCGAGGTGGCATGCGTCGACCCCGCGGCGGCGAGCACGTTGCCCGCGGCCGGCGACAGGCCGGGCTTGCCCGCCAGCGCCGGCAGGCCAGAGGCTCCGGCGAGGCTGGGGACGCCCGAGGCCGGGGAGGCCGCGGAAACGGCCGGCCGTACGGGGAAGGGGCCCCAGGCGCTGCCTCCGAAGTGGGCGACGGGGAGACGCGGGTGCTGGAAGGCCTGCGCCGCGAAGAGCGCGTGGGCGTGCGGGAAGGGCGGGCTGGCGTACGAGAGCGAGATGGGCACCGGGAACGACGGGCGCACTCCCTGGTTGGCGCCGCCCGGGGAGTTTCCGACGCTCGCCGAGGCGGAGGTGGGCGGCTTGTGCTGCGGCTGCTGCTGCCCCTTTGCGCTGGTGGCCACCACCGTCATCGTGGTCGTCACGGTGACGCTTGTCCCCGTGGTGGCACACGAGACGGAGGTGAGGGAGGCGGCGGAGGTGGCGTTCACCTGAGTGTTCTTGCCCGATGCGCCGCCGATGGCGCCCCCCGATCCCACGCCCTTGGAGGAGCAGCTGCCTTTGCCGGTGGCGCGATTCTTGGGGAGCAGCGCGTCGATCTCCTGGTTTGGGTCCTTGATGAGAGCGTTGATGAGCTGCGTCGCCTGGCGCGTGGCCTCCGTTCCCCCCCTGAACCGAACAACAATACCACGGTGTTCACGGCCCGTTCCGATTCAGCGCGAGGCACGCTCGTCCGATAACGGTTGAGCGATATCATCATCATCATCGTTATGGCACAGAGCTGGAAATTAAATTAACCTGCAGGCATGGTGGCAAATGCAACGCACGTAGAGCTAACGCATAGCACGACACTCTCTCGCTTGTCTGGGTGCGCAGTGTCAACAAAGACACATGTTAAAAAGCCTTGCTCCATCATGGACTACTTGGCCATTTGTGTGCCAGTAGGGGGCAATGATTGTTGTGTAGTCTAGCCTAGGGGAACCCCCTGTGGCAGCTTTCCCTGCGCAGCACATGGCGACTCGGTACCCGGCCTGCGAGCGGGCATTAGTCCGGCTCATGGCCGCCGTGTGCGATCCCAGACGAGTGAATACGAATATCAAGCCAATGACGTCGCCGCCGCTGTGCCACCCCCCCCACACGCTTCGGCGCGTCCGTGCGGCGAGCGACGCCACCCGGGTGCCACTGCTGTGGAAGCACTCGAATAATTCGACTTTCGTGGTGCACGGGGTGACGCGGGCACCGCGGTGCGCACCGTATGGTGATCATGCGATCGCCGGCCTTGTCCTTCTGCTTGTCGATGTCGATGTGCGCTCCCGTGAACTCGCGGATCGCGTTGATGTTGCAGCCGCCGCGCCCGATAACCCGCGCGATGGCCGTCGACGGGACGGCCACCTTCTTCGACCTGACGGGCGAGCGAGGAGAGGGGACGTGGAATCAACCAAGTGCAGAGGCGGGCGCTAAACCCACCCCCCCTCGGAGCTTCGAACGAGGCAACCGGTTAACGGCATCGGCGGTATAACGCGGTGGCGGGGTTTGCGCCGCGATTTGGTGATTCTGTATCAGGAATTTGTGCAGCTGGATTGCCGGAATCCTGCCGTCGTATGCGGAGTGGAGCACAAAAGTTTCGACCTCCACTACAGAGGAGAGAGTTTAGAGAGCAGCAGCACTCGCCGATTCCCTCCATTGAACTCGCTCGCCAACAATCAGTTGGCCCCTTAACACTCTTCTATTGCTGTTACCATGGTTAATGTTCCTGTGAACTTGACAGATTCCTCTTCCCATGCCAGACCGTTTCATCTCATCCACACTGCATTCAACCGCCACACTACTGCTGCAGGTCACTTCTCTCGTTTCTGGCCCTCGTACTGCTCCTCGATGGATTTCCCTCCCAGCGGTTGATTCCCCCCGCCCTCCCCCCAGGCGATCGTCTTAACCATTCTACTCTCTTATTTTTTTACAGCTTAAATGCAACCATTTCATTGCTGCCCAATTCGGCCTTTTGGGACCCGAGCTCAGCAATTGCGTTAAAAAAAAAAAGTTGCAAGGGCGTCGCACCTCCGCACGACCTCCTTCCAGCCGTCCTCGCGCTTCTGTGCCCGCTTGGGGCTCGTGAGGTTCAGCTTGCTGTTGGGCGAGGACAGCGGCGTCGCACCCACGCCGGCCTTGAGGCTCGCCGCCACCGTGGCCACCGCGTGCAGGCCGCCGACGCCGCCGGCGCCAGCCAGCATTCCGGCCACCTCCAGCGCCCTGCGCGACGATGGCACCACGGAGAACGGGCACGGGCGCGTGCGTTAACAGACTCGCCGAGTCACACCGGCGATTCCACGGGTTGCCGTGGAGGCGCTGGCGCACGCCACGCCGCATCGACTCAATAATTAACGACGGAGCTGTTTCGTCAGCGTCTAAAGTGGCTGCGGCGGACATTAAAGATCCCGTGACTTCACCCCGTCAATGACACGAGTCTTACGTGACGGCGTGCTTCTGGGTGCCCATCGGCCCGACGGCCTTCCTGTCGCCGTCCCCCTCGTGGTCCGCTCCGGCCGCGTTGGCCTTGTTCCGCTTGCGCTCCTTGCCCTTGCCGGCCTTCCCCGCCACTCCGATCGAGTCCTCTCCGCTGCTGCTGCTGCTGCACACCGTGCCGTTGCTGCTGCTGCTGCTGCAGCTGCTGCTGCCGCCGATTCCGCCGATGCCGCCGCACCCGCCTCCGCCCGTCACCTCGCCTGCCTTGGTTTCGCCGTTGATTACGGGCGTGGGGCACATGGAGGAGGACTGCGGAGTCGCCGTCGAGCCGCTGTCCAGCATGGCAGAGGTGGCCGGTGCCGCCTGGGGAGAGGAAGCGAACGCCATATAAGCCTTAACGCACCACTGGGTCACGCACCGTTGAAGTGCGAGACGCACCAAGCCCGGGCCGCCTTCGTCTCCCCAGCGTCGATGTTCACACGCAGAAGCTTCCGAACCCAAGCGCTACCGCCGGGCCAAGTCACGGCCGCGCTTAACGCGAGCGCTCCCGGCAAGGGGGCCGTGTGCCGTACCACGCCGACGTCCGTGCGGTTCTTCCGCTTGGGGCCCGGCGTGGCGGCGGGGGCGCTGAGGGCGGCTCGCTTGCCGTGCGCGTTTGACAGCGTGGAAGACGTGGCCGAGATGCCGATGGTGGTGGTAGTGGTCGCGCTCGGGGGCTCCGGGGGGACCACGTCTTCCTCGTCGTCATCGTCGTCGTCGTCGTCCTCTTCTTCCTCTGCGCAGGCAGCCGAACAAACGAGGTTATAAACGAGACGGGCCGCCCGGCGAGGTCGGCTTGGTTGAACGGTGCGACTGCTGTGCGAGTGAGTGAGCATGAGAGCCACCGCGGAAGTGTTGTACATTCTCCCTCTATTCCGCAAGGGTTTCTGCGGGGGGGGGGGGGGGGGTTCTTCATATTTCCTCGTCGTACCCAACAAAAAAACATCTCAATGGAGCAGGACCCCTCCTGAAAAAGGCGGAGCGTGAGCACTCCTGGGTAACGAGGTAAATTATCATAGACAGGGTCTGACTTACCTTTCTTCTGCTGGCCATCGTCCCTCTTGTGAGATTCATCCGTGTCCTCTTTGCTCTTCGCCTCCTGCTCCTCGGCCTTCCTCTTCTGCTCTTCCTTCTTCTTCTTGCGCTTCTCCTTGCGTTTCTCCCGCTTGGCTGCGAGCGTCTTCTGCCGGCTCTCCTCGCGAGACTGTGCGAGCGCAAGCAACGGCGGCGGCGGCGGCGGCACGGGCAGGCAGGCGAGCGGCATAAACCACCGTCAGTAACAGTCCCGGTGAAATATCGCCATGCTCGTAAGAGGTTTTTAAAAACACTAAACTGAAAGCAAATCTTGGGAGGAGATGCGGGGATGCGTCAGCAGCGATTCCCCTATGCAGCCGAAGGTGCGGCACGGGGAAAGGAAAGCGACAAGTCAAGACAGGCCGCAGGAATTTGCGGCAAACTCGGGGTAAGTACAACGGGGCATTTCACGGTTCCCGTAACTCGAACCGTGACGGTAAGCCCGCTAAACTGTCATCAACATTTACAATTCCTGGTCAAGGGGGTGGTGGCAGGGGTGAAGACGGAGCAGCACGACCCTTACCCTCTCCAGGTCAAGCTCCTCCAGCAAGATGGACGCGTTCTTGTTGGCCTCCGCCGCCTGCCGGTCCTTGGCGTGGACGATGATCTCCATGCACTGGTGGCACTTCTTCAGCAGCTCCTGAGCACAGCCAAAGGGCAAGGGACTTCAAAAAAGCCGAGGTGGGCCCAGTCAGGTTCATTCCTCCGTTCCCATAGATCTCAACCACCGTGCAAGGACCTCACACGTCCACCTACGCAACGTCTCCCGCATCCGCCACCTCCACGCCCCAGCTGCCGCCAGGAACCTCGCCTGTGCCCTCGCCACATTCCCCGTCTCCTCTACGAGCTCCGCGAATACCTCACCTCCATATGATCTGAAATGCCGCCGAGAGATCCCTCACCCGCACCCTTAAATGAGACCACACCGTCCCAATGCTCAGATCCCTCCACTGATTCCCAATGCAATCGCGGATCAATGACCACATCGCACTCAAGTCTTCAAGATCCTCGATATTCGCCCCTGCATATACCTCTCTTCCTCTCATCTCACTCAACCCACGTCCATGCACTCTCCTGCCTCTTCCCTTTTGCGCTCTACTTACCCCATGTACTCTCGTACAGCTCTTCTCTCTCATCTCGCTGTACGCGCCTTTCCATGCGCACTCCGCTCCAGAAGCCAATCCTTTGGGCCCTGTGGGAGGTTGCTCATTCTCCTTTGCTGCCCCCGTTGTCAGCAGCTCCCTTTCCCCAGCCGTCTGTGTTGTCATCTCCCCCTACCCCTGTTCAAGTCCACCAGGTTCAAGACCTCCCATTTTTACTTTTAACCGATGGCCTTTCTGTATGAAATTAACATATCCACTGTTTGCATACCGTGCCTTGAAAAAACGGTTGCATTTACGCGACATGAATATGAATTGTACCGTGTTCATTCAGCCGGCCTCCTACTCTAGCTTCACCATGAGAGCCAACAGAGCCGTGTGCAAAAAAGGCGGAAGGTAATTTTCAACGCCGTTGACAAAGACAAAGATTCCCCGTGCAGCCTACACAAACTGCAAGTGCTGTTTGCGAGTAGCACCTACGAAGGCCAACACGACCCACGAGGGGGTGGGGTGGCCAGCACCACCGTCTGGCTGCCTTTGTCTCCACAGTGACGATGTTTAGATACTGCACCAGGTACTCATTTTGAGCCATACCAGGGGAGGCCTAGGACCGGATTTGAACTCGGGTCGGCGGCTTGGTAGCGCAGTGCGCTAACCACTGCGCCACCGCTCCCCCCTCTCCTCCAGCACACACTCGCGCTACATCCTCCACGGTCGTTCGATACGTGCGACCTGGACGCTGGCTATGGCCGTGGTACGGTGGCCCGTGCGGCCGCGTGCTCGAGGCCGGGAATGGTGGTACCTTGTCGGTGATGGTGGCGATGTAGCGCATGCACTCCGAGTCGGACGGGAACTGGTTCACCTCCTTAACCAGGTATCGCACGACCTTCACGTGACCCTGCAGCGCGCCAACAAAAACGCATGCGAACACAAACGCATTCGCGCACACGCCACACGAAGAGCCCCTTCCACTGAACGGCGCGTCCCACGCCCAAAGTGACCGCTAAACAGCGACGGCAGGCAATGGGAAAATTCAGCAAGCGATAAATCAACTCGACAATCAATACAATGAAGCAATGTTTCTCCAAAAAGAGGCTTGAGAACCGGCCGAGTGGCTCAGCGGTATTGTGAGCTGCTCGAAACTGGAAGGTTGCGGAGTTCAATTGGATGGTTGGGGGTTGACCCCATCATTCCTCCAGGGCCAATGAACATAAGTCCATGGCAGTTGTCAATATGGATAGACTTGCTTCCGCCATAGAAAAGAAGAATTTCCACCACTGGCTCAGGGCACAAAATGTGAGACGCAGATCCTCCTCAATGCTCATTTGAGCAGCAGATTCACAATGACTTTGACAACCACAGCTCATGGCAGACCAACACCCACAGCTGTCCAGGCGAATTGGAAGGATTTATCAATGTTGGTGCCCGCCAAACCATCTCGTTCTCAGCCATCGGCAGAGCCAGGTCGCCGATGGCGGCTGCGCTTTAACCGCGAGCGAGTGCCGCTCACCTTGCGGAAGGCGGCCATGAGCGGCGTGATCTTGCGGTTATCGGCAGCGTCCACGTCGGCACCGGAGTTCACCAGGAGCTGCACCACGTCCAGGTGGCCCCCGTTGGCCGCGAGCCAGAGTGGCGTGTTGCCCTTCTTGTTCCGCACGTCGATGTGCGCGCCCCTATGAGCACGAGCACGCGGGCAAATTCACCGACACGGAGAAGCAAGGCGACCATGAAAACCACGGTGGGGCGCATTGAACGGGGCGCACAAGGCCGTGTGCCATGCAGACTTGCGCTGGGCACCGCGGGCTGGAGGGGCCCAGGCACCAACCTACGGAGAGGAAAGGAAGGAGAGGGGGGCTGGCGAGCGCTGGTGGGAGGGCGCTGGTGTGCTGGCATGCTGGCCTTAAGCATAGAGGCGATGTTGGAATTTGGCTCGGTGTGCATGTCACGCAGGAAGCGGTAGTGTAGCGGTTAGCGTGCTGCGCTATGAACTAGGTGACCCGAGTTCATTTCCCACTGATGGTCAACACCAGAGATTATTATTTGAACCGGTCCTGGGCCTCCCCTGAGCCTCAATTAAGTACCTGGTGTGGTGTGTAAACATCGCCACTAGAGAGAGAAAGGCGATTCGGTGGTGCTGGCCAACAGCCCCTCCCTCGTGTACCGTTCTGGCCTTCGTAGATTTTCCCGAACAGCATTTGCCCCAACAGTCTGATAAGGCTATACGGGGGATCTTTGTTTTTTTTGTGTCATGTGACCTGCTCATGTGACAACAAGAATCCTCGGCCTACATTGCTAGAGCCGTGCAAGTGTAAAGGCACCATTCGGCAGGCATTTGCCTGAAGTTTAAATCTGTGGCTGGACGGCTAGACACGCATGCGATTCCCATGTTAGGCCAGGATTGTTGAGCAATGTGCTAATCGTACTGCACGCAACATACCTGCACGCACAACAGCTGCCGTACATTACTAAGTGGCAGTGATATTACCTCAACGTTTGTGCCAGGCTAGGTGAACTTTGAGGCCATGTGAAGAGCTGAAGGCTCGCTGCCAGATCACGGCAGGAGGTTACACGACAGACCAAGGTGTTAAGAGGCCGAATGACCGAGGAGACCGTGCCCCCCACTGCGCCACCTTGCTGTGTTTTACTCACACAAAACCAACGACATCGTTCCCCCTTATACCCTGACTATTGGGGCAAGTCCTGTTAGCGAGCACCTATCAAAGCCAACATGGCACACACGAACGAGGGGGTGGTGCGTCTGTCATCACGCCAAGGAGCTTTCGTCTCCCCTCATGCTGATGTTCACACACCGCATCGGGCACTCATTTAAGGCTGAGTCGACCTTGCCTAGGCGAGGGCCCAGCACCGGTTAAAATATTCGTCACCGATGTTGACCGCGAGCGGGAATCAAACCCGGCAGAGCGCCGACACACACGAGGTACACGTATGCACAGGTACGCACAGGTACGCACACGTACGCGCAGACACACGCACGCACCTGGAGATGACGAGCTCGCAGAACTTGTAGTGGCCCTTGTCGGCGGCGATGGTGAGGGCGGTGTCACGAGACGAGGGCACGGGCGCCGCGTTCACGTCCGCTCCTCGCTCCAGCAGCACGCGCCCCACCTCGGCGTAGCCGCCGGACGCAGCCTCCATCAGCGGGGTCAGCCCCGTCTGCCGGGGGACACAAAGTTGAAGGTTTTTAGACGCCGGCGTCATTCAATCCTCTTGAAATATCGGGGTCCGATCGTCAGATTGTTCGAGGTCTGACACACTTGGGCAACCCAACGCCTCCACTCATCGGGATCCTGTCCCATCGGCGGGGCACAAAGACACACAGAGAGACTCATAGAATATCCTCTCATAGAAACCTACATGTGAGTCTATTTATATCCATTAGAAAATATATATTTAACATGTAATTTTGCATTGAACTACGAACCCATATCTTAAAGAGAGGATCCTTTGCCTATAATGCCTGGCAATTCACCAGCATTGATTCAAGCGAAGACTGGCTCTGCTGATGAGACCAGGCAAGTCTTTTCTTGCATAGAAATTATGCATGCCCCAAATGCCATGGGGCCGATGGTTTGCATATATGCAGAGATGTATCCATGAAGGAGACCCGATAAACTTGACTGCGTCGCTACCACAAACCAATCGATCACCAACTTTTCGAGAGACCTGGAGAGACTAGGCCAATCGGGACAGAGCACCGAGCGAACAGCAACATGCACGCACGCAATTGGGCGTCAGGTCGTTGCAAAGCCTTGACATTTCCTACCCCACTCGCTTTTAAAAACGCACACACGTGAAAACGGACATGTGCGAGAACGTGTGCGGACGCGCGCTCAAACGTGCACGGCGTGTCTGCCGATCAACGGGCGATGTTTATGTCTGGAGTCACGGCTGGGACTCGGTGTGTCATTCCCGTACGGCCCTGGTGGTGGCATCGCCCCGTATCCGTTACAGCAAGGGACCCAGATGCATTGCATAAAACGAAGCCGCGGCATGGCTGACTATGTGGGGGGAGGGGGGGGGGATGGGAAATGCGAGGATGGGCCAGAGCATGTGCATCGGTCATCAACGCTCCTGGAACGATCCAACACCGAAGGAAAGAAAATGGAATTGAACCAAGCAACGCAAACATGCTAAATGGCGTTGTAATTATTATAATCATTATTCAAAAGAGGATTTATTGGGTTAAACCGCGTAAATATAAATGGGTCGTTAAACCCGCCACCACCCAATACCACCAATTAGTAAGGTTTGTCACGTAAACAAAACATGCCAATTCGTTACGTGTACAGCACACCGGTGTGTTGGAGAGTAAACCCACAACTTTACAATTATGGGTTTTATATTTTCGCAATCTAACATAAAAATTATTGTGGATAATATTGGTCACGTGTTAAACTGACCATTATTATTTTCTTCTGCTATTTTTAATTATTACACCATATGCGAGTGGCGGTCGTCTTTTTTTACCGTATGCGTACATTGGAAAAAAGGCGCAACGTCCCGGGGTTTTAAGGGGAGGAGTTCCTGCACAGCGTGAGCACACCAGGGGGAGCCCCGCTTCACAACGATCAAAGAAGCCCTCCCTTTCTGTTCGTGTTCAGCCCCAATAAAAACCAGCCTTAACCCAGAGGCTGTTTGTTTACCCAAACGGGAACTTCCTGCTCACTCTAATTACCCATTAGTTACTTGAGGGGGTGCCCCAAACATCCCCACCCCACACCGGAAACGCAACCTCCCTCCCCCCCCACCCTTCTACCAAGCTCAGCCCAAGACCATCTGGGTGCTCTTTGGGGCCTCGATCAGAAGGAACTGCTGCTGCAGAGCGCAATGCCACATTGCCACGAGCACAGGGGGAGTGGCCCCCACCAGCCCAGCGATGGCCCATTTCCGGCCCAGAAATAGCACTGGGGGCCTGGGCCCATGTCTCCATGCACAGTGAGTCAAGATGCTCGCTCCTGCAAACGTGAAATAAAAAAACGTTGTGTTTAACAACAATCGACGTAGACGTTGGTTTGGTGCGACTACACGAGTAAAAATAAGAAATAGCCTTGCTGTTTTTAGAGATGCTCTGGCGTGGGCCCAGATCTAAGCACGTGGCTCAGGCTGAGAACAATCCTTATAGCCGGGATCCTATCACGCGTGTCCCACCCACTGCACCCGACTCACGTGTACCACACACCACACCCGACACACCTGTACCACCCACCACACCCGACACACCTGTACCACCCGCCGCACGTGTACCACCCGCCCCACCCGCCGCACGTGTACCACCAACCACACCCGCCGCACGTGTACCACCAACCACACCCGCCGCACGTGTACCACCCACCACACTCGACTCACGTGTACCACCCGCCGCACGTGTACCACCCACCACACCCGCCGCACGTGTACCACCCACCACACTCGACTCACGTGTACCACCAGCCGCACGTGTACCACCCACCACACCCGACTCACGTGTACCACCAACCACACCCGCCGCACGTGTACCACCCACCACACTCGACTCACGTGTACCACCCGCCGCACGTGTACCACCCACCACACCCGCCGCACGTGTACCACCCACCACACTCGACTCACGTGTACCACCAGCCGCACGTGTACCACCCACCACACCCGACTCACGTGTACCACCCACCACACCCGACTCACGTGTACCACCCGCTGCACCTGTACCACCCGCCGCACGTGTACTACCCACCACACGCCACTCACGTGTACCACCCACCGCACGTGTACCACCCGCCGCACCTGTACCACCCACCACACCCGCCGCACGTGTACCACCCACCGCACGTGTACCACCCACCACACCCGACACACGTGTTCCACCCACCGCACCCGACACACGTGTACCACCCACCGCACGTGTACCACCCACCGCACCCGATACGCGTGTACCACCCACCGCACGTGTACCACCCACCGCACCTGACACACGTGTACCACCCACCGCACCCGACACACGTGTACCACCCGCCGCACCCGACACACGTCTTCCACCCATCGCACCCGACACACGTGTTCCACCCACCGCACCCGACACGCGTGTACCACCCACCGCACCCGATACACGTGTACCACCCGCCGCACCTGACACACGTGTACCACCCGCCGCACCCGACACACGTGTCCTCCGCATGCACCCGACACACGTGTCCTCCGCATGCACCAGTATTCAGAAAAGTTTTTTTTTTCTAGTTGTGCTGCTAAAAATATGAATAAACTGTAATTAAATCAGGGCAGGGAATCATTCATATACAATATATAGAGACGTCAGAAACGAAATAATAACTCTTAAATTGAAAGGGCACCTCCAGTGGCAGCTGTCCCCACATGGTGCAAGGCGACTCAGCACCTGGCATGCGAGCCAGACGATCTGCCAGCGACCGCACCGAATCGGCGAGTGGGGGATCATCGATCAACCCGACCGCTTCCCGTAACCGAGATTTGCCCAAGTCCGCCATCCCGCGACACGTCGGCTTAACACGCACCTTGGCCCGGTGCTCGACGTTGGCCTTCCTCTCGACGAGCAGGCTGACCACCTCGTGGCGGCCCTGGAAGCAGGCGAGCGTGAGCGCCGTGTTGCGGTTCGTCTCGATCTGCGCGTTGATGTCGGAGCCCATGTCGAGGAGCAGCTTCACGGCGGCCGTGTGCCCGTTCATCGCCGCCAGCATCAGCGGCGAGATGCCCAGCTTGCTGCCAGTCCTGCAAGAGCAGCGCCATCATCATCGCCGTCGCCATCGTCGTCGTCATCAACAGCAGCCGGACATTTGGACGGGAGACCACGTGGGAATACCACGTGCTGTAGGATTTGGCTGCGGGGCCGGCCAGGAGATGGCAAGTGGGTTTTTTTTTAAATCCATCTCTGCCGAGTATTGAGTGCGTGTTACGCCTCTCGTATTCGTGGTGGGATCTCTCTCCGGATTTTCTCCACCCTCTTCAAACACAAATCGAAACGCTCGTTATTGGAATTAGCCAAACACCCATTGGAGCAGCACGCTCCTGAAAATAAGTCGAGGCTTTCCTAGGTAAATCATGATCATCATCAGCCATGACCAATCGACTTTGAGCCAGTTCACTTGGGCCAGAGCCAAGCCTGAGCCAAGCCACGACTAAGAGAACAAGGGCATGAGAGAGGAGCGAAGGGGATGGGTGTTGTCCGAGTGTGGTGGGGGCACCGCACCGGGAGTTGATCTCTGCGCCGGCGTTGAGCAGGATCTTGATGATGTTGACGTAGCCCCCGGAGGCGGCGAGGCTCAGCGGCGTGTAGTCCGACACGTTGCGGTGCTCTTTGTTGGCTCCGCGCGCGATCAGCAGCTCCACCACCTAGCAAGCGGCATGGCACACGGGGGGGGGGGGGGAGGAACTAATTTGAGGCCGAGTCGACCTAGGAGGAGGCCCAGGACTGGTTCATAGTCTTCTTTGGTCCTTTCGGTAAAGTCACGTGACTTTACCGAAAGAACCAAAGAAGATGAATCCTTGCAGTCACGAAAGCTTTAAATCGAAATTTGGTTCATGGTCGTCACTGGTGTTGGCCGAGAGCGGGAATCGAACTCGGGCCGCCGAGTTCATAGCACAGCACACGCTCTCCACTACGTCACCTTTCCCCAGTACAAGCACGCACTCGCACACTCACAAGCACGCACTCGCACACTCACAAGCACGCACTCGCACACTCACAAGCACGCACTCGCACACTCACAAGCACGCACTCGCACACTCACAAGCACGCACTCGCACACTCACAAGCACGCACACAAGCACGCACTCGCACACTCACAAGCACGCACTCGCACACAAATACAGACAAACACAATCACGCTGTCACTCACTCACTCAGGCTCTCACTCAGGCTCTCTCGCTCACCTCCTGCCGGCCTCCCGAGCAGGCGAGCGAGAGCGGCGTGTCCTTGGTCCGCTCGGACTGCGCCTCGATGTCCGCGCCGTTGTCCAGCAGCAGCTCCACCACGTTCACGTGCCCCGCCGTCGCCGCCAGGATGAGCGGCGTGAAGCCTGAAGTACGCGGCGCAAACCAGCATCAGCCAGGTGCCTCATCATCATCGTCATCACACGGGCTCCATCGACTGCCTCCCCAAGTCGTCGCCATCCCTCACTGATCACGCGAGGACTGCACACGTTCCGTTGATCGTGTGCTCAGAACTACTCGAAAGACGGCAAGTGAGTGAGCACGATAAAATTCCAAGGACAATATATGCCCCTGAAATAGGCAATTAGTGTGCCAAGAGGCCAAGATACTTGCAGCGACAGACAAACAGTGCTTGCGGGCCGTTGCCAAATGGCAGGCCTCATTTGCTCGTGGGCCATGTGGAATGAAGTCGTGGGCCGGATGGGTTGGTAGTGCCCGCGAAAAATCCTCAAAACCGAAGGATCCGGTTGCCGCGCGCAGGCGCTGTCTCACCCCCCGGGCCGGTGGGTGGGGTGCGGCTCACCCTTCTTGTCCCGGTGCTCAATGTTGGCGCCGCGGGCGATGAGCACCGTGACCAGGTCCTCGTGGCCGCCGGCGCAGGCCAGCGTCAGCGCGGTGTCGTGGTTGCTCTCCGTCTAGGTCACGCACAAGCCAAAGGTAAAGATCCTGGTTCGACTGAAAGGCTTGCAGGGGTAAGTGCTATCAGCGAGGGCCTGTTAAGGGCTGGCGCGGAGCACAAGGATGTGGTGTGGCAACAATCATTCCACCTTTGGTCTTCCCACTGCTGATATTTTCACAAAGCACCAGGCACATTTACAGCACCGAGTCAACCGAACGGAGACCCAGGTGAGGCACAGATACCACATGCTGCAGGTGTCATCAATGGCCAGGAATCGAACCCAGGTCTCCGGAATTGTGTCAGTGTGCTAACAGCTGCACCACGTCCCCAGACACACAACGTGCACATACGTGCTACGGTCCACTCCCAACGCTCCCCACCACCAGCTAACCACCAGCCCGAGGTGTTGCACCTCCATAAATAGCCATCCCAACAAATCCTACCGAACAAACTACAACAATTCTCTAACAGACTGCAATGAAACATGAGAACCATTACCAAAGCAAGGCATTTTCCTTTTCCCTAACCAATATGGAGTGGTAGTGCCCCGGGTGTGCATGTCGCACCATGAACCTGGAGACCAGAGTTCAATTCCCAGCTAACATCAGTTGCCGAGTGATATATTAACTGGTCCTGGGCCTTCACCAACATGTATTAACCAGTGTGGTGAAGTAGTGAATAAACCCCTGAGCCCAACGATGCGGGGAGGCTTCCATCCAGCAGTGGACTGTCAAAAGGGCTGTAAATGCTTACTATAATAATAATAAAGGTGGATTGAATGAGCACTCCACACAGGATAGCTATATCACTGGCCATTACAAATCAGCAGATCAAGCAGACTGCCAATTACAGCAATTCAAAGGGCTATCCCTGTCAACTCGCACACAGAACGTGCGACTGTCCTGCAACACACATGGATGCAATCTATATCAACCAGGTCAAACGCTGCTACCTGCGCATCAGAATTTACAATAGATCATCTTTTGATTTAAAGCTTTCGTGACTTTACCAAAAGAGCTAAGAAAATGGATCATCTTCATGAGTTATTAGGACCCCCCCTGCTACGGACAGAGACAGAAAGACAGACAGATGGGGCAGAACGGAGCTCAATGTATTCAGTCTCTAAATGTTCACTGGAAAGCGTTGGAAAGTAACGGCCAAGCGTCGTGGAGAGGGGTTGAGACTCGGCGAGCCGTCCAACCCACCCCGCTGGAGAAACGGCCGCAGGACGGAGTGTGCCTAGTCACCTGTGCGTCCAGCTCCAGGGGGTTGTAGGGGTGAGGGATCGGCGGGGACACGATGGGGCTCGGCGCCGGTGTCTGCGGCTCGGAGGAGGAGCCGCCGAGGGCACCGTGCGGCGGGGGAGGGTTGGCCACGGCCGAGGGCCGGCCGCTGGCAGCTGTGGACGGAGGGACATGACGCGGGTCAGCACGGCTCTCCGGAGAAGAGGTGCGTCACGAGCGATTGACTGAAATCGCGCGCTCACGACATGTGCTCCGCCCAGCGATCTGCGCTGTCGATTCACTGCCCCTGTTTGAGTCCAGACTTTGATCAGTTTCTCTGCCTACATCTGACCGCTTCTCTTTCCATAAAATACATTTGCCCACTGCTTCTGCACAGTGTCATTGAAGTGATTGCATTTAGCATCTATATAAATCCACAATTTAGCAGTATATTGCTAATGGGTTATCTTCAACTTGTGCATACTTATTATTTAGGCTAATGGTTGGAATTGAGACAATCATTCAGATGTCCTCGATTTCATCCCAACTTTCTGGATTTTCCACGAAGGTGACCGGGCATAGTTTAAAATTAAACAACGTTTTTCTCCTCTTTAAATTTAGCCGAAAAAAGTGTTCTTCAAGTTACAGGTGTGAGGTGAAACAACGGGGATTGATCTGTTCAACTCTTGCATATGCGACAATTTTATTTGTTTTGTTATGTCAGGTGGTGGAGGGTCTTAAGAAACAAACCTGATCATCTACTGTGCATCTCAGGAAAGACAAGACGGCACAGATGAAGGGGCACAAAGCAAGATGGTACAGATACGACTGTGGCAATGGCACATTAAAGAACGGATTCTTTAGTCGAACAATGAACCCAAATCGTGATGGATCAGAAATTCACCGGATGCCTCTAAATGGTGCCACCAGCACGCCCACAACGAGTTGCACACCACGGGCGCGTGGCCAGGCGCCCCCCCCCCCCCCCCCCCCCCCCAGAGCGGTTCGGTGAAACATGCTGGCGACAAGACGTCCAACCGCCACGGCAAACCGTGCGCTCACCTGCCATGATGTCTCCGAGCGTGTCGGTGAGCGTGCGGGCGGGGCACGCCACCATGAGGCCCTCTCCCGTCTCGCCCAGCACCAGCTGCCCCGTTGCGCTCACCCCGACTCCTACCCCCATGCCGCCCAGCTCAGGGGGCACGCCGGCCGCGTCCAAGGGGGTGGCGCCGCCGGGCGGCTGCGCCGTGTGCAGGGACACGAAGCCCGCGGGGAGGCCGCCGGCGCCGGCGCCGCCCCCCGGTACCGCCGCCCCGCCGGCCGTGAGAGGCAGGTGCTGGTGCTGGTGAGCGGGCGAGCCGTCTTCCCTGGGCAAGATGGCTTCCATTTGCGCCAGGCGGGCGTAGGCGGTTTCCGGAGTGGTTGTACCGCCTGCGCACGTCGCAGAGTAACACACCCGGCGGACTTTCGTTCAAATCTAGAAATAGGCCAACGGTAAAGGTGCAGCCCTGAAATTACTCGCAAGTGCCACTGCTGGCAGAAGGGCCTCCAATCAAGAAGGTAGATTGGCCTCCACTTCCACTCTGGCCAAGCGTCATGCAAGAGGTGGGAGTACCCACATTATACCCCGCACACAAGGCCTGCCAAATCATCTCACAGCGGCACTCTCAACTAAAGCGTCAGCAGATCGAACCGGCGACCTCTGTATTGCAAGCACCGTGTGCGCTGCTCACCGTGACACCATGGCAGTACCCCATCAAATCAAACATCTCTAAATACTCGTCTGTACTGTGTGTGTTGTGAGCGACTCATCGACTCCAACACACCTGTGGACTCCTGCTGCTGCTGCTGCTGGATCTGCTGTTGCATCTGTTGCTGCAACAGCTGCTGCTGCTGGAGCTGCTGTTGCAACAGTTGCTGCTGCAGCTGCAGGTGCTGCTGCTGTTGCTGCAATTGTTGCTGCAACTGCTGCAGCTGCTGCTGCTGGTGCAAGTGGAGCTGGATTTGCTGCGGCGTCTGCTGAGGCGGCGTTTGAACGGCCGCGCCATTGGGGGGCGCGGTCGCCGCGGCGCCCGTCGCCCCCCCCGGCTGCTGCTGCTGCTGCAGCTGTTGCTGCTGCTGCAGCAGTGCCTGCCGCTGCGCCTTGGCCTCCAGGTACTGCTTCTTGAGCTGCTGCTGCGTCTTGAGCTGCAGCTCGCGCTCCACGCGCTGCAGCTCCTCCAGGATGCGCTGCTTCTTCTGGATCTGCTCCTCGCGCGTGCGGCTCAGCTCCTCGATGCGCTCGCGCGTCAGCTGCTCCGCCTGCGCCAGCTCCAGCGACTGCAGCTGCGCGTTCTTCTCGATGGCCTCGCGGATCCGTTGCTCCAGCTCCGTCAGCTTGCCCTGCGCCTCTTCCACGATGCGCTCAGGCGACTGTTGCGCGTGCCCTCCGGTTCCGCCGCCGCCGGCTCCGCCGCCGCCGCCGCCGCCGCCGCCGCCCGGGACCCCCGCCGGCGCGGCGGTGTGGTGGGCGCCCCCGGCCGCCACCGCCGCCGCCGCAGCCGCCGCCTGGTGCGCCCGCGTGTGGACGTGGCAGCAGCAGCCCCCTGCGGCGGTAGCGGCCACGTCAGGGTTGGGTGGGACGGGGCTGGGCGCCGGCAAAGGCGGACCGGCACCGGGCTTGGGCTTTGCCGGAGCTTAGAGAGGGGGGCAGGGGTTGACAGAAAGGAAGCCCGCGAGTGAGGACCACAGTTAGCGGTTACGCACGACTGCGCGTTCGCGCCTCGGGCGTGCTCGTACGACGTGCGGGCGCGGTCGTCACGGAGCCCACTCGTCAACAACACGGCCGGCTTGCTGCATCACCGTTTGACAAAACCCCACCTTTGATAGGCCTCGCCTAACAGGGCCATCAAACTGCTGCGTAATTAAACTGAACATCGGCGCAACTGAAATGCAGACGGTTCTCGTGGCTTCGGCAGCCAGATGAAACGCGCGTAGTCATGTAAACCTTGTGAGCTAAAAGATGATAGGCGGTGTTGCAATCAGTCTGCGTGACCTCTGCAGCCACTAGAGGCGTGAAACGCTTTTCTTGAATCGGAACGCGCGCTCGAATCGCGAGCACAAGCGGTGCACCCCCGAAAAGTCGGTGTCACGACGCGGAAACGCTCCGGGGCGCTACCTTTTCCCCGCGCCGGCAGGTTCTGCTGGAGGTCGTTGGGCGGCTTGTCGGGTTCCTGGGGCGGAACCACCATGGGCAGGGCCTGCATGGGCACCCGCGGGGCCTGGGTAAGGTCAGAGAAACCCGGACACCTTGAAAACCCAACGCAACAGCAGCAGCAGCAGCAATAACAAGAGCCCAAAACAGCCTCTCTCTCTGGGAAGCCCACAGGTGCTGGAGAGATCAAGGGTCTCCCTATCTGCGTTTTGAGGGTCAACGCGAGTTCTTCTGTTCCCCGCCGAGCCGTTTGCAATTGTTTCGTTCCCGACTGTGTTTTTGCACGAGCAGTGCATAATCTGGTGCAGCCAATATCGCGCAGGCCGGGACGGAACGGCATCGCTGAATAGCAACGTTGACGTAAAAAAAATGTTTCCAGAAAAAAACAAATTATAACCGTTACGTTTTACTCCAAATTAAAGTGTCAGGTCTCCTCTGCAGAGGCTTGCACAGTTGGGTAAAAATTTCATTTTAATTTAATTTAATTACTCCTTAGCAGAATGCCAAGGGAACACATTTGAAACAAAAAAATTCCAGCATTCTAAAACAATAACAAATGAAACATGAGAATAATATCGTATTGATATCCCGTTACAAACCAAGTCTACCCAGCAAAAAAGATAGTTCATGAACATTCACCGTAGAAGGAAGAGGGGCACGGACCGACACTCCAAAACACAAACAGTTCAACCCTCACACCAAGCCTGACACCTAGCCCCACGTGTCATCCCACACACCTGAACCCACAGATCCAACATCCCACCTGAACCCACACAATCTCACCCAGGCAATCGAACCCCCCCCCCCACCCCCGACTTGAGCCACTGTCTAATCCTAACCCAACTACTGAACCTTACACACAACTACTGAACCTCACACACCTGAACCCACACACCTCAAGGACGCTAATGGAAGTGTGGGCTTGGTGTGCGGCATACGTACAAAGACGGGAGCACCAACCTGCCCCTGGTCCTGGGGAGGGGGGGTGAGTTGGGGGGCCTCGGGGGGTGAGGCTGAGAGCAGGTTGTGCGGGTAGTCGATCAAGTAGCACACCACGCTCGTGTGGCCGCCTTTGGCTGCCTCAATAAGCATTGTGGAGCCGTCCTGCGAGGACAGAGGACACAGAACAAACGGGCGATTGGACTTCGCTGCCGAGGAGTCGGTCGACCAGACTCACCGTTTCGTCTCACCAACCACCACAGTTGCAGGTTACAGCAGCAACCACTCACTCAACTAACCACTCACCAACCACGAGCATTTCCACACATTAATCAAACAGTGTATTCCTACAGGCATGATTCAAATTGTACACGATGACGTTCATTGCGATACCAGTTAGAAAACAGCATTTCCATTTGTATCATTTTTGTGCTTTGCTGTACATCCAGCACAAACAAAGATGACTTCAACCGCCGTTCACTCAGCATGAGCCTGCTAATTAGTCGTTCTAATAATTGCAACCTCGTAACGCACAAACTGTCTAGCGATTTATATGAGTATCTGCAAATCTGTGTGCGTGTGCGCATGTGCACGTATGTGTACGTGAGTGTATCCACGTGGGAGTATGGAATACAGCTGCCCTGGCAGCAATGGAGCCTTGGACACATGGGCTAATTGGGACGGCCAAGCACGGGGGCTGTAACTTGACACTCGTTGGATTAAGGCCACATGACAGCGCGGGGCCTTAGTGTGCGCAAGTTCATGTGTGTGTGCGCGCATGTATAAGTGTTTGTTGGCAGTGGGGAGCACAGGTGGTTCATCTGCCAGTCACCTCAATCAGTTAACCCAAAACACCTGGGGTCTGTGACCGTGACCCTTCTGCCGGTAGCGAACATTCCACGCGTCACATGCCGGTCTCGAAGCGCAGCCGGCCCGGCGCAAGCGGCGTCACCGCCTTATCACCGGCGCGGCTACCGCTGTTGCCGCCGGTGCAGGCACGGGCAGGTGCGACTCATTGGGGAACGCATACCGAGGGCGACGGGCGTTGGCGGCGCGTGCCGATCGGCGCGGCGTCCCAGCCAGGCAAGGCGGGCGGGCGGGCGGTTTACCTTAAGGCGGTGGTTGGGATCGGCGCCGTGAGCCAGTAGCAGCTCGACCACGGAGAGGTGGCCGCCGGCGCAAGCCAGCGACAGCACCGTGTGGTCGTTGTTGGCCGTGGCGCGGTTCACGTCTGCCCCTGCACCCAGGAGACCGTGGGGGGGGCGGGGGGGCAAGAGACGACGGGGCGCACAAGCGGCGGCCACGCGGGAGGCGGGCGACAAAACACGGCCGGCGTTATTGCCAAAAAAGAAAATGTCCCAAAAGCAGGACTGCGGTCGGTTTGTTCTGACCAAATGGGCAAAAAGTGGTTGGGACCATCATGGCGATTGTTATGATTACTAGTGTTACTTTAAATTTGTTGTTTGAGCAGGAAAACGTATTTTACCAAAGGCGTTTCGATTAATTGTTTTGCAATATATGATCGAATCTTATTCCTCACTCTAGAGGCACTATTTTGCAATATGTTTCTCTCATATTAAAGTTCAATTTAGTTAAGTATTTAATTTATAATTAAGTTATATTTTGTAATTTTTCTTTATTTGTTGACTTTTTCATTGTCGCATTTATTGTATTTATATTTTTTTATGTGACCTGTTGCAAACGTGTTTTAAATTTTAGTTTTTTTGTGTTGTTGATGAAACCCAATTCAAGAGCTTCTTAGCTCACAGGGCAATTCTAACTAAACTGTTCATCATTACTTTGGGGTCGGACTTCATTTGCCCAATGTATAAAAATACTATTTTAAGCTTCCAACTTTATTTTGGCACGCCGCATTTAGGACTTCTGTTTTTAATTCAGGGTCAGGAAGTTGGCCGTGCACAAAGCAAAACAATTTCACAGAACAAAATAACACTCGTTTTCGCAGGTCAGAATCACCGCAAAGGAAACATTTGCCAATCATCCATCTCGACATTAGAGGTGGGGGGGGGGGGGGTGTGGCATGGACAGCGTTATGGAACAGCACTACAAACCCAGTGACCTGACTTGGAATTTAAGTTTCCTATGATGCGGCAAACGCTATTTACCCAGACGTCAGCCCAAGTATAGGACCGGCTAAAACGCAGCAAAGTTGGCATAATGGGTAGCAGTCATCTGCCTGTCATCTCGTTCAACCCATAAGCACCTGGGGGTCTGTCCAGGGGACCCCCTTCCTGCCAGCAGCGAGCCATCCGCACTTCACATGACGGCCGCAAAGCGCACCCAAGCCTAGGCGCAAGCGTGCCGCGGGTGACGTCGCTCCCGCTTGGTCGGAGGCTGCCCATTTATTGAGTGCACCACATGGTGGCGGGGGTTCTCCGTGGCGCACGCACTCACCCTTGCTGATGAGGAACTGCACGGTGCACACGTGTCCGGCCCGCGCCGCCTTCATGAGCGGCGTGCGGCCGCCCTCCGACTCGTGCTCCTGCGGGACGGCGCGGCACACGCTTCACTCCTCGCTCGCGTTGGACGCGAGCGCAGCCTGGGCGATCCCAGGTGACCCCGGTTGACCCCGTGGCGGCCAGATTTGTTCGAGAAATCGAGTTTTTTTTTTTCATTTTTATAGTTAACGCTCGTTTACCCAACAAACAAAAAAAATTCCGAGTCCCAATGCTCTTTTGCAGGAGGGTACTGCCGAATGATCACAATAGGGGGCAATTTTGTAATAAAAAAGTTAATCATATGCAGGTTATTATTCAGCATTCTCCTGTTGCTGCGATTGGTTTCCCATCGTTTCCCCTCATCGTCTCTTGCACAAGTGGTAAGCGAACCCCATGCAATCGGGCGTTATATTTCTGATATGCACTGCATCCCTGAACACGTGGTTAACTGTCTCATGACTTTAGCGTGAATGTGAATCACCACCCCTGCCATTGTTAAGTGAACGGTGCAAGACTTGGATGTTGTTTTCCTCAAATGTGTTTGCGACTCAAGTGTCAGCAAAATATTAATACTGATTTGCTGCAGTTCCTTTTTTTCCCCCATTCACAAAGGCCCTCTGCGAGTTATTGTCATAAAACAGCTCACGGCCGAATGTTTATTTCTCCCGTCAACAAATAAAATAAAATCAGGAGGGACGGAGAAAGCGTCGGATTTTGACTTCACCGCCGCGCGGCCGGATCGTGGCCTCACCAGGTCGGCGCCGGCTTGCAGCAGGAGGTCGGCCACGTCGGTGTGGCCGTTCTCGCAGGCGTACGTGAGCGCCGTGTCGCCCGTGGCCGTCGTCGCGTGCACGTTGGCCCCTGTCTCGCGCGCACACGCGGCACGCACGGGACGCACGGGACAGGGATGGCGGGCGCGGCGTCAAACAAAGGGGAGCTGTCGGCCCAACGGCGCCCCGTTTGGCAACGGTCGCCAACGGAGGTTAAGCGGCGTTGTCCGAGAGGGGCAGCGGCGCTGGAACTCTCGCCAAGGAAGAGCCGATGAGAACAAAACACGAGTGTCGAGTTGCGTTGCTGTTATTAAGTCGAGCAGACCTCCATGAGAAAACCCACGACATTAAAACAAAAAACTTAGCGCGGAAACTTCGGTGATAAAAACCAGAGCAAAATGACCCATTTAAAACACGGCAATGCATTCTGCCCCAACAGCACCGTTGGCTTCAACACTAATTAAATATTTGTGAACACCAAGGACTGTTGGAAAGAGTTGCACAATCCAAGCACACACATGATTACTCCTCACTTGTTAACTATTTATAACACAAACACACCAAGGCATCTGTGAATCCGGTCTTTTAATGTCCGTAACGGTGTGCCTGTTTTCAAGCACGGATGAGCCAGGATAGCCGCTGGGGTGGGTGACCGCCCCGTACAGAACAGGTTGCTCTGGGGCAGCAACAGGAATTAACTCAGTGGCCAGCAAATGTATCGTTGTAGAGTACCAAGCTCTCTGCCTTCACCAAACAGTCCTGATCAGCGTGGTGACGTATGGTCATATAACCCCCCCCGTGGCCCGCACGGCATGGGGACGTCCTCATCCAGCAGTGGATTGACAAGAGGCCTGTGTGAACGTGCGCGTGGATCATGCGAATACACAGACGTATGGCAAATCACTCGGCCACTCCACACCGGGCTCTTTCCAGATTCGCGCGCAGGCACGGCGCGATCGTGAATCCACTCCTTGGACGAGCGCTTCCTCAATGTGGTACAGGCAGTGAGCGTTTTGACCATACTTCACCCACATGGGTCGAGGGGCAGAAAGGTTTTTTTTACTTCCCTGCCCCCTCCGGTGGCCACGACGCCCGCTTGTCGTGCGTGATGGCCACGCATCCAAACGCCGTCCAGGCTCAATTCCTGCTTAGTGGGCGCAACGCACGTGATTTTAGTCCCAAGGCAGATTCACATTCGCTTCGCTTTCACCTACAAAGTGCACATGCCACATTATAGTGAATAATAACTACGGCGCACGGCGGTGCGCACAAGCAGGCCGTGCGCATGCGCCGGGTAAAACCGCAGCCACCGGCAATCAATGTGCTACCAAAAGCTCGATTCAACATCGGCTAAAAGAAGCGGAAATTATGTTGGCTTAACGTCCGGGATGTCGCTAATCTGAGGGACGATGATGAAAAGCCCGCGAATCTACGTTTGGCCGTGTCGCCTGGCAAGAGGAAACGTTTCTCTCAAAGCTGGATGGAGGGTAAAGCCCTCTGATGGGAGGAGGCCTCATGGCAGACCGCTGCCTCTGCAATGCCCCCGAGACTGCCGCCAAGGCAAGGGGCGCCCTGCGAAACACTCCTCTCCCTTATGTCAAGAGAAAAGCAAGATGGGCACCAGAACCCACCAGGTCAGCTCTTCGCAGCCAACATTTGTGAAGAGAACAGCGAAAATGACAAATCATGCCTTTTGTTAAGTTGTTCGGACAGTGTTGCGGCTATCTGGCATAGAGGCTTGTGAGTGCCACGGTATACATATTTACTCATGCCTCTCCGCCTGTCACGGTGCATGCGATCGATGTGTGGAGAAGCTGGCTGCTGTGTTTTCTCTGTCCACTGCGAGCAGGGCACAGTGACACAACAGTGGGCAAGTGTAAGGTGCCCAAGCGCCTGCGTGTCCGTCCTTGTGGATTGATTTTTCTGATTGCACTGTTGGTTTTTCCATACAGCTTCTTGTTGTTTGTGCCAAGACTTCCTTGCAAAAGAGGCTTTTGTTTCGATGACCTTTCATAATCGTCCTCATCACCCCATGGTCTATCCACTCCAAGCCATTACAAGCCCTTGAGCGCTCCTGCGATGCCACAATTCATCCATTTCAACGGTAGTCACCTTTGTCGGGCACATTTTCTCCTTTGGCTGCCATTCCAGTCTCGTCCATCAGCCACCATCGTGCCTAATAATGTGTCCAGCACAAGCTGCTTGCAATAGGCTCGGGAAGACTGTGACGCAACAGCTTCGAGAGGGGTCAGGGCACAATTTTTTGCCCGGGTGGCGCTCCTGTTATCGCCGTACACGGAACAACGCGCGATATTGAGTTACCCCGACCCCCGCCCGAGTGGAAAATAACACGGCATAGGGGCACCGAAAACGCACAAGTGCCGCGTCATTCTTCGCATGCTGCCGACTGATCGTAAACATAAACACCTGCAGAAAACCGGCTCCTCTAATCCAGAGTCAACACAGCCACTACACTAAATCAACAATGTATTTCCTTTGACTTCCTCTTGCCCTGCCGTTGCTGCCGTGACGATTGGCGGAAGGTTGGGTTGATGTGAAAAATGCGAACACGTGACCGACAATACAAGTGGGAGAGCGGTGGAGCTCCACGCTCCAGATCCAGTGAACCCGAGTTCGATTCTCGGCCACGGCATCTGAAGCGGTCTTGGGCTGCCACCCACTTCACCAACATGCTGAAGTATGGTTATTAAAAACACCATGACCGGCAATGGCAACGAGAGGTCTAACGCCGCAGTGGACCGTGACAAAGTGCTGTACATCACGTTATTTCTTCATCTAATTTCCTGTTGGGCAGCCGCTGATTTAAGCAAGGTTGTTTTGAAGTGACGAATATTTGACGCACGGTCAAACGTTACAAGTGATGATATCCCGGCGCTCCTGCCGGCTGAAGGGCGTGGGGGGTACTTGTTTGTTATTCTATGCCGATTACTTACCACAGAAATCTCATCGGGCAACAGCCCTGGAAACCAGCGCCTGCGTCAGCGCCTAACCAATGGCCACGTGACGACCTGGCCACTGGCAGAGCAACCTCCGCCGCCGCCGTCGCCACCGCCTCTCGGTACCGGCGACAACCCAACTCGTGCTGCCGCCCGGGTGAAGGTTTTAAAAATAGGCCGGTCTCCAGTTACAAAGACGGTGACAATGCAAAGGAAAATGTGGTGCCGGGGGGGGGGGGGAAAGGCTGCCAACTAAACGAGCCGTCTGTGGTCACGCTTGCGGGGGTCAATATTCGTCAAGCGCCATCCCCTACAACCCCGCAGTGTGCGTCACCGATCAGCGAGGCCTCGTCAACTGCGCCAAAACGCCGTATTCGATGATCGCATTGTGAACGGGCACAACGGCCGCGTTTTGACCGTCGCAAAATCCAGACGCCTTGGGCGCGCAGCCTGACCGGTGTGTGAGAGAGAGAGGGGGGGAGAAACGATCCCGAAACAGTCAGCCCTTTGTCTGATCGTCTGGAATGTTCGTTTTGCATACCACGCATTCTAGAGTAACTAAGTGGGCAACTCGAGCGGTGGCGGTGGTGGCGCTGGAGCAGCAGCAGCAAGTCGTCCAAACACCGCTATGTTGTTCCTGCTTTGCGGCGGCCTACCTGGGTAGTGAACTCTCCCCTCGTCTCGAGACGGAACGACATGGGGGCTTCTCCGTGTACAATGTGTGACGCACACATAGCAAGAGACCTTGCTCGTGCAGCACACGACTTATTTTCGATGAGACAGGGTAGCAATTCAAGGAAATGTCCGCATAAGCCCCTGCCACCCCCCCGACGCATTCTTGGGTAAGTAAGCCTATCAGATTTGCAGCTGCACAAAGGAAAACCAGGTCTGCCTAGGCCAGTGTGTAGTTGCATCGGCTTATCAGATGCGCCCATGGACCAGTTACAACGCAGATCACTCGCTTCTGTGCCAAGCAGCCCCAGCTCTCCCCCCCCCCCCCCCCCCGGGGGCCGTACGGAACGCACGTCTTGTAGTGCTCTGAATAATTACACAAAGCATCGAGGGTTATGAAGCACGCTTTGGGTATTCGTGCTCCCCTTCCCGTAGCGCAGAGCCACCGCGAAGGAAGCCCCCTGCAGGGTTTCCCACAGGCTGCGGTAATTTCACGGCAGTGGGCGAGATGTTGCCATTCGTATTTCAATTGCGTAATCTGCAGGTAAATAAAGGTAATTTGTCGAGACTTCCAGCTTCATGGAAGAATCTATTTGTAGGGGAGGCATCTTGTCTATGATTTAGTCCCTTATATTCTCCTCAACGCAAATGATTATGTCGTGCACTGTGTTGGTCAGCCTATGGACATCTGGCAGCTGACCAACATTGGTTCGGGCGGGCGTGATTGCTGACGAGACGTTGGATGTCGAAACCAGTCCAAAGTTTGCTTGTGTTGAACCGTCACTGTCGAGGCTATTGAACTCCCAGGGTACTGAGCGTGTGGCTGATGAGAAGTGTAAAAAGTATATTTTTTGCATGTGTGGAGAGACAGGTTTTGGCAAGGGAACATATTGTCTGCTTATTTAAATATGTCACTCATTCTCTGCACCGACGCCAGCACTTATATCGTATTTCAAAACAAATGCTGCGTTGCTTTGTGCAATGGCCCAGTGAAAACCAGAGGCTCTGGGATGTCATCGTCCCCCGCCCCCACCATGGCGTCTTATTGCCGGGAAGCCAAGGCAGCGGGGTGAATGGGAGAGGTGGGAAGCTGTGGGGTGACTCCTGGGCGGCCTCCAACACCCCACAGCACGATCATACATCACGTGCAAGGCGGTGCGCCCCGCTGTGCGCACGATGCGCCACAAGCACGGATCGTACATACACCACCCACAGATCAGAGGGCAAAGCGTGGCACAGCGGAAGGGAGCGTAGGAAAACAAAAATCAGCTCTGTTTGGAATCCATTCATCTATTGATTTGACTTGCCTTCTTGGGAATACCACATTGTGTTTTCCATGGAATTGTCATATAAATGTAAATGTAATTTCCCCGCTGCGATTCACAAAAGGGGCATTGTTTGCCGAAAATTAGCTGCACGATAACACGCGCAGACAACCACAACATAAGCGCATGAGACTTGTAAACAATTACCCACTCCGCTCTTCGATTAAACGTCATCATTTGTTGTCACGATTAACAGATTACTAATTGCGATTGTCGTGCACGCAGAATCCAGTCAATTCTACAGAGGTTCTCCTCAGCCAGAAGCCCCATTACAGCTGCTAGGATATTTTCTGTCTCCACGTGCTTCTTTCTACGCTTGCTACTCCAGTCTCCTCCGCCGCTCCAAAACCTCACTCCACCGCATCCTCTCACCTCGCCCTCTGTCTGCCTCTAACCCTCGCTGCCCTGCACCGATGGCATGTCCACATCCCTTCTTCCCACAGCATCTGCGCGCAGCTCCCTCAAACTGGTGATTTGCACAGAGCGGCAATCGTCGCCCCCTACCAAAAGGGACAGAAAGTTCCCGTTTACAGGTCAGGTGCTGCCAAACTGTGCAGCATGGGGACAGCTGCTGCCACTGGCGGTGCGCGCCCCTTCACACGTGTTGAGATGAGATGTAAAGCCAACTGACACGTCACGGAGTATGTGGGGGGGGAGGGGGATGTGCTATATGAGATACAAATCACGATCGTTATTTTTCACACTTTTCAGATTTCGTTCCGTTGTCTTTTTCAAGTGTCCATGTGGGCTCACACGAATGCCAAATCATTTAGAAATGTAGAATCCACGTAATAAATGTAATTAATTAACGTATTATTACATTAATAATGGGTATGGCTTTGTGTAAATGTTCAGCTGACAAAGCTGTATGAAAACTGCTATTTCCGGCCACGCAATTTCGACACTGCTCGGTCAACTGGAAAAAATGCCTTTTGCAAACAGACCACGAGAAGCACGGAAATCAGGCAACACAACAACACAACCAACGGAGCTGGCAAGCCAGTCCATTACGTCAGCCGGACAAGCCGCCCGCTGGTAGGTAACATGAGGTTGCCTCGTTTTTGTTTGTTTCTTCATGAAAATGCTTTTTGTGAAACTCTTCTGTTGCCAAGAGTGCCCAGTAGCTATAGAGATGGAACAATGCTATTGCTAAGCAGTGTGTCATGTAAACATTTACTAATGACCCCCACCCCCCGCCCAGCAATTCTGCGCATTGCCACGATTTAATTTTCATCTTGTGCCGTTACACTCGTATAATGCGCAACAAAATATTCCCACACGCACACACACAGACACGTACAGGTCTTGAGACTTATCAATAGAAGTGATCCCAAGAATCGATGCATCGATGCCTGCCCCCGAGGTCCTAGTCTCAAGATGCACAGTTTCGAGCATTCCTAGTTGGCGTGAAAACACAAGTGACCTCTCCGTTGGACGGGGGGGGGGGTGAGTGGGGCGACGGCTACCTGCGGCAAGGAGGTACTTGACGAGCTCTAGGTGGCCCTCCTGGGCGGCCTCCATGAGCGGCGTGGAGCAGCCCAGCTCCAGGTCGGCTCCCGCCTTGATGAGGAAGTCGGCCACCTCCAGGAAGCCGCCGCAGCACGCCAGGGTGAGCGCCGTCTCCTGCGTCTCCTCCGTCTGCGCGTTGATGTTTGCGCCTGGGAGCAGCGGGCGAGCGAAACACAGTACCAGTTACGGGGGGAGCCCCGGGGGGACGAGGCGACACGGACTTTGAAAAATCATGCACGCGCGCGGCTGCGCGATTGTCCCGGGAAGTATTGAATACGCTGTCATAACAGGTAACTGACATCGTCCGAACTACGAAAAAAAATAAGTGGGTTTGGGCCAGACAAGTCGCTAGAGGGGAAGACGGAGACGTTCCATTCCAGCCAAGGAATGGAGCGCGTCCGAGAGGACGTCCACTGGGGAGAGACAGAGCGAAGAGATCAGATCATGTGCAGGCTGGATTTTTGCATCGCAGGATTGTGAGAGATGGTTACAGCTGTTAAATAACAGAAAACCCCTGCCAGACTGCTTTTAGCGCCGGTTTGTTTCTCGAATTTTGGGCAAGCCTCCAATGAATGTTGTTGCTTTTAAATAGGGCGAGTCCCAAATAGAAACCAAACACTGCAGTAAATATGAATTCATATCGGATCATCCTGACGAGTTGTTGTGCCCCCCCCCCTTCCAGACGAAAGGACCGACAGACGAACAGGGGGTAATGCTTTCAACATTAACTGGACAGTGTTGAAAGCAAAACATATAATCATCAGCCGCTGTCCATCCACTGGTGGATGAAAGCCACCAACCCGAGCGGTCTAACTATACCATAGCACAATGCTGTACGGTTTTATAAATTACCCTCTGGGACAGTGAATTAAATATGTTGGTTATTAAATGCCGTCTATCACAGCAAATCTGCACGAAAGTCTACAATGGACTATTTCTGTATACCACGCCAAAAATGACACACTGAACAGTTCCCGACTTGCAATGAGTTTTGATAGAGAATCAAGTTGCACAACTTTCGATCAAATGTTCAACGGTAAAAATGTAGAACGGCTTTAACAGCCAGCATCACTACAAACCTGTTAGGCATCGAACACACAAAAAGTCGATGGTTGGGTTTGCCGTATTCTAACAGAACACCGAGGCGATACATTTTTGGGTTAAGTCAAAGAATGATCTGGCCAAATTTATGTCGTAAGGCCATCCCCCCCCCACCATTCCAATAAAACCACGAAAATTTAATTATCATGCGTACAAGCGTTCAACAAGCCAATTGTTAGCGTTCGAGCTGTAATTCTCACAACCAAATGTATCAATTCAATAACAGATCCTATTGGCTGAAAAACCTACGTGTTCAGGGAACAACACCGCGCTGTTGTACAGGCAGAGAAAAGTCCTTAAACATCGGCCGCTCATTCTTTGTTGTCGAACTTGACCAAGTCTTTTATTGGGGTGACAAACACAAATCTACGCACATCAGCAAGCAGACTGGCGTGCGCAGTGCGAAAGGCCATCGCAGTGACATTGGCGAGCAAGCGCGTGGGCTAGCGGGCGGGCGGGCGAGCGGGTTTTGTTGTTGCGACCTCTAGCGCGGTGGTGAAAACACGGCGTGGACGACATGAAGCGAGCTGGCCCGGCAGACCCAGGTACACCCCAGAGAGAATCCCGACGTCAGCGCGCGATCTCACCTTGCGCGAGCAGGAGGGCGACCATCTCCTCGTGGCCTTCGCGGGCGGCCTCCATCAGCGGTGTGTAGCCCTCGTCGTTCACCTCCTCCAGGTTGGCCCCCCTCTCGATGAGCAGCGCCGCTAGCTCCACGTGCCCGCCGCACGCTGCCAGCGTGAGCGGAGACTCGAACGAGTCGGCCGGCATGTTGACCTGCGCGCCACTCTCCAGCAGCAGCCGCGCCACCTCCACGTGCCCGTCCTGCAAGCAGTGGACAGACGCGACGCAAACCATTTCCACATTTTGGCACAATTTGCACCGTGACGCCGGGAAATGGGCCTACTCTTGTCGATGACGGCAAGGGATCTTTTTCTTTCATTGCAACAACACGCGGGGGGTCGGAATACCACAGCGAGAGGTTCCACCAAACAGGATACAGAAAAAAATCCGTGAACATCCATTTAGGCGTGGTGGAACCACATGAAAGGGGCGGAACAAATTGGAGTCCGGGCCCTCGCTGCCCCAACCAAGTGGGGACCTCGCGCAGGGGGGAGAAAGATGACAATTTAAATGGGGAGGGGAAGATGGAGGGGGGGAGGAGAAGAATAACCAGCATACTAAGGGGAAGCCGGAGGGGTGGGGGATATCACGGGATCTTCAACATCCACTGTGAAGCAGACGGAGTATATGCTTTGGGCGAATGCACCCACAGAATGATTCAGGACAGCCTCTGGATTTGAACCATGAGCCTCTGAAAAAAGTAACTAGGGCACGTCACCGCCCGAATATAATGATTCAGAATTTAATTTTGGCTTCAACCACAATTATCTGACCAAATGTGTATTGTAATATCCTCCCCCACCACCTTACATAGCCAAACAAATTAAATTGTTACGTGAACAAGTGTCTGCCATGCCAATGTATTATTGCTTCAGCACACGGCAGTTGTTGCTGCTTCAGAAAACCACGAAGTCAGAAAAACATGCAGGAAGTCATCTAAGGTGGCCCCAGCCAAAGAATAATTCTGACTTCCTGGATTTTATTCTGACTTACTGGATTTCCTCAAGATGCTTGGCACAGTTTCAAGAAAAAAACATCAAATCTAATTGCTGCTAAATTTGGTTGTGAGAGTTCTTTAGATTACCGGCGAGCTTAAAACAATAACCCTAAAACCAATTACAGAAAAACGTTACACTTTGCCACTGTAGATGGATACAACGGCTCTGCAGGAAATCTCTTTTTCAAAACAGTCCTCCACTGTAATTGTATTGTCGCTCGTTATGCGGTGCACCAAAACAGCTGGCCTGGAGCCACCGCTCTCGTGTGTGTGGCCTCCGCTGACGTGCATGTGCGCCGCCGCCGCCGCCGCCACCACCCACCATGCAAGCCTCCATCAGAGCCGTGTGCATCTCATCCGTCTTGTGCTCCTGGTCAGCTCCGGCCTCTAAAAGGAACCTCACCATCTCCAGGTGGCCTGCAGGAGACATAAAAATGTATTATGGCATTCGTACCATTTTTTTTTTAAACCGTCACAACCCAAACACCGGCTCCCGAAAGAGAGGTGGGTGGAAGCCAAGGACGCACGAGTGTGAAGCGTTGCCAGAAGCACATGACAAACACTGGCAGAATTGCAATGAAAAATCGCCTTCGTGTTTGTTCCATTATGTAATGCGTATCTCAACACCCTTTCAAATACTGCCTTCAGAGCCAAGAGTTCACCTGCACATTTCAAAAACTCGTCCAATCTCCCAAGTGTCCAAATTACTGAACTGGACTTTTCCAGAAATGAAGAGGCACTATCAATAAAACGAAGGAACTCGTACGTTATTGGTAAAGTACGTTCCCAAAGACACACTTTATAACCGACGGCCTGCAGAATCCGTTTGTCACAATAACATGCAATTGCTGGCCAGAGTAAGCTGGACAGAGAAGCCCAATGAGGCCTCATGCACGGCATAAACAAAAGAAAAAACGATTGTTCAAGTAATCTAGTCGGAGAGAGAGAGCAAATGGACCGGGACTCATTCTTGCGAGGGGACGGTGTTTGACGAATAAGGACGTAAAAGGAGGGAATGGAAGGAAAAAGAATGAGAGGAATGAAGGAAGGGGGCGGTGTTTTTTTGGTTACGAAGAGGAGGGGCAGGGAACAGAAAAGGATCGAGAGAATGGCAGCGAAGGCCCTGCCCGTCACGGCAGGGCACCAACGCAACGACCAAGAAGACCGTCCCTGTGGACCCGCGCGCAGCTCTGGCGCCCGCCGCCCGAACAAACGGAGAGCGGAGCGGGCGTCAACGTACCCTTGTAGCAGGCGAGGGTGAGGGCGCTCTCCTTGAATTCGTTGGAGTGCGTGTTGATGCCGGCGCCGCGCTCCAGCAGCAGGCGCGCCACCTCCACGTGGCCGCCGCTCGCCGCCTCCATCAGCGGCGTGTGCCCGCTCTCGTTGTGGTCCTCCAGGTTGGCGCCCGCCTCCAGCAGCACGCGCACCACGTCCACGTAGCCGCCGGCGCACGCGTACGTCAGGGCCGTGTTGCCTGCCGACGCCGAGTGCGGAGGTCACAGGAAAAGATCGGGGGGGGGGGGGGGGGGGGGGCGTCAGGTGGGACAAGCGTGTCGGAGCGATTTTTGCATCTTCTTATTATAAATTTACACCCGTCTACTCTTGACACCCCCACCGAGTGTCATGGCTCTTTCACGAGGAGGGCGATGATGTGTGTCATTCTAATCGAGTCATTCACGGTGCGATTCTTCAAATTTGGGAAATTTGGACCATGACACACGGGATCTCAAACGTCGACTGTGAAAGCAGACGGCATGTATTTTATCAGCGAGCCCAGCCAAGAACACCAATCACAAGTTTGCCTGCTTTACGAATTAACTGTCGGCGCTCCTCGAAATGTTTACAGGATGGCTCAGAAAGGGGTACTTGCGTGTTTGACAATCTAGGGTGGCCTCACGTGGAGCTTTCAAAGTCCACGGGTTCATTGTTGCCAAAGCAGCTTTTGTTTGGTTAATCCGAGTTCCATACACACCATCCACTCCCACTCTTTTCCTTCGCCCATTTCACCCTCGGCACGAAATGGAAAGGGAGGAGGCTGAGCAACAATAATTCCTTTGCCATGCGGATCTACGGCCGAGGCAAATGTGTGGGGTCACACACCGTCACCAATGCACGCTGCGCTGGCAAAATAGAATCAGGCCTGAGTGTAGCAAGCTCGCTGTACTGGGTAAACTAATGTAGTACAGATGGTGGGGCCAGTGTGGTTGTTACGTAACGGAAATACCGTAAATACGCGATGGGGGTACGTTTTCTTGTTTACAGGGGGCATTTTCTCAGGGAAGCTATCCATCACGGGCAGCATCTTGCTGACAAAAGACTTGCTTCAACCCTAAGTACTGCCTACAGCTACTGCTGGCTCTCAGGTTTACCCTGTCCCCCCCGCCACCCACTCTAAGCTCAAAGTCCACCGTTTACAGTCTCCAGCCCTGCCACTTAGAGATTCTGGGGACGGCGCTTGCCGCGCGACCAATGGGTGGCTTTGGGAATCTACGTATGTTGAACTTCTGTCGCAGTTCATCCTGGCACGTGGCTCCCGTCGGCTACCCGCGGTAAATTTTCGCAGCAATGTAAGGCAGCGGTGCGTTTCCCACACGGAGACCTTCGACCGGCCATGGGATGGCGATAACAACGCAAGCAAAACGTGAGTCGTTAGCCATTTAAACTTTAATCATCTCCACAGGGCCAGCGGTTTCGCGCCTCATATCCCCCCCCGCCTCCGACACTGCCCACCGCCCAACTATTACGCAGGTTAAGAAGGGGTCACAGTGTCCCAAGCTGGTCCAAATTAGTTGCTTGCCAACGGGATTAGTCATTAGAACACGGCACATGTGTTGCGCCTGCCAAGCCAACGCGCTTCGTCTTGTGGGATCCCCCACTGCAGCTGCTGCCGCTTCTGCCGCCGCAGCTCACCGGTGGAGGACTGCGCGTTGACGTCAGCGCCGTGAGCAAGCAGCAGCCGCACGATGTCCACAAAGCCGCCGCTGGCAGCCGCCATGAGCGGCGTGATGTCACCCTTCACGCCGCGGTCCTCTACGTTGGCGTGCATCGCCAGCAGCACCTGCAGCCGGCGCGCCCGCGCACCGGTCAGCACCACGGGGGACAGCACCACCGACCACCGCCACCGCACACACAGACCTGGAAACGTAACTCGGCGCCGCGATGCAGCGGCCGAATTACCCCCTGCCGCATCTCCGGCGATTTGATGAATTCTCACGATCGAGATTGCTTATTCAAGAACATATTCATGTGTTCTTTGTGTTGTTTTTTTTTCTTCCTTTTTCTCAACGTCGTTGGACGATTTTATTTGCTCCACTATCCTTAGTGTATGAACGTATACTTGCTTAAATGGTGATTAATGTAATCTTGCACACATTAATTACATCGAAATCATAAACGTGGCAATGTAAGCGTCGATTAAGAAGCTGTATTATTTTGAAACGAACACGAAATTTGATTGTCTTCATCATTGGCAGCCATTATCCATCCACTGCTGGATGGAGGTCTCCCCATGCCAATGCCATCCCTCACGAGTCCAGTGCTGCTACAATCCACTACACCCCTGCACATGAACCGATCTCATCGCTCAAGTCTCCGCGGTGCTGGTGGTGGTCATCCTCTTGCATACATTTGGCTCCTTTGGCTGCCATTCCATCAACAGTCTCCATCACCAGTCCCACCTCAGGGCCATATTCTTAGTAATGGCTTGGCCTCTGACAGTTCAGCTCAGGCTTGCACCACCGAGTTGCTTCCATAGATGCGTATGAGCCCCGAGTCAAGTGATGGCTTGCTCAAGGTAATCCTGAGCAGAGCGTGGCTGAGACTGTCTTCAGAGCCAGCTCTCCAGTAAAGCACGGTTTTGAGGCGGCTCACTGGAGCCAGCACCAGGCACAAGCTGAACCCACGACTAGAAATACAGGCCCACATGTTTTTAAACAGGCTCATCGTGTTAAATAATCAAAACGAATGGCTCACCCTTAAATAAGGTTTGAATAAACAGCGACACAAAGGTCAACCGGGGTTGCCTTTGAGAGACTAAACAAACACTTTCTGCTGTTGTACCTGGCCGATAGGACATGGCAATAACAAGTTTAACACAAGACTGTCCTCGACAACTTGACTTGGGTTAACACTCCTTATCAACTATTTCTGATATCTGCATTGAACAGGCTGTCGCTGGTGTGCACGATGTAAAAGTTTAAAATATTTTCTTTTTTGATAAGTGCATCGTGTACATTTTTTTTCCTTCTCACAATCGGCGTACAACGTAACTTTTAATCAAAACATTTTTTTTAATTTTGATCATTTTTGCCTGTGGCACGGTTTAAAAATGACACTCACAATGCAAAGTGAAAATCGGTAGAAAAAAAACCATCAGCTGCCACCCTCCCGTGTAGGCCATAGGGATCGTTTGGGGCTTTGTGTCTACACACGCCTGGTTGCTTCGTTCTCAGGTGACTTGCACCAAAACATCTACCAGAAAACGTGGCGTGTAAAAGTCACGCCGGCAGCATGGCATTACTGGTTGAAGCATCGGCACCACGGTTGGCGTCGACAGCGCCTACACCATTGCGAGCCGTTCACCGAATAGCAGGAATGCATCAATCAATCGATTCGTCAATGTTATATTTGCAATCGAACGGCGCAAACGTGACACCCGATATAAACGGGATGGTGAAATTGAGACGTTAGAATAATCACATTCTGAATCGAATTGCGAACCTAAAAAATATGGCAATTCATCGAATTGCAGCAAAGCGCTTCATCACTATGAGATTAGTGAATGCCTGCCGTTGAAAAATGATGGAACAGATGCAGACGCCAACACTGACACTAATAAACATGACCGCACAGCCTTGCGATCAATTAATTTTCTCCTTAATCAAATCAGGGAATGTTGTGCAATTAAAGAATAACAACGTAATCAACATTTAAGTCTGCCCAGAGTGAGCCTCACACACAGAGACCCTTGCACGCGTCTCGTAATGCCATTTCAGTCCATGGGAGTACAGGGGTCATTTCCAATGATGCATATAAATGCGCGCACATTTACATTAACATTCTATTTACATGCACACGCACATCCGGCAGCAACACGGGGAGCCGCCGTTTGATTTATAGGGCGAGAATAGCAAATAACAGATATGCGAACGTGATTTAAACCTGCGCTCACATCCCCAGACAGGGCGTGAATGTTCGTGTTTGAAGACGGCAACGACGTTGTGTGCGGAAGCATGGGCGTCACAAAAGGGGTACGCGGGGGACACACAAACTCGCCCGTCGCTTGGATCAATGGACCACAGTCACAACAGCGACTGGAACAGTGTGGACTAGGGCCCAATTTAACCTGGCCGAGTTTATACAGAGCTCGCCCAAAAGCACCGCTTATTCAAGCGTAGGGCACATGCCACCTTTGTACAAGGGCTCAGCGTGAACCACAACACTTAAATTTCACGGCTAAACCAAAACCAGACATGGCAGAAATGTGGTTGTGAGAAATGTTCCCACAACTCACCCGGGTGAGCTGAAACGGTAACAACTGGTAAGTGTGACAATTGTACACGCGACAATTACGTTATGCACCTGTGTTGGGTTCGTAGAGGGTTCCCAATGACAGAGATATGCTTAGGTCATTACAGGCCCGTAAGCCAAAAAATCTATTTGGAATCATAACATTGACTACGAAAATGTACATGTTAATTAATCACGAGTAACATTGTGGAGAGTATATGTCGGTCCCTGTATGTAAGAAAATACACAGCTTTCTGGGAATGCATAATTTCAGCAGCAGTGGTTCGACACAAGCAAACCCTGGACTGGTTTCAACATTCGGTGTTGCATCAACAGGCTTGCTCAGACAGCATCGTTATTGAAAGTTGCCTTCTGATGATTCCTTCACAATTCAATGCATTTTCGCTAATCGGTACTACGACTCCGTTCAATATCGCTTATTGGTCTTGCCGTTGCGGTGCGTGCAAGTTCGACAGTGGCATCGAGGTCTGCATGAACCAAGCGCACACGAAGTGTACGACTAGAAAATATTCTCCAGACTGCCTGAGAATTTACCACACATGGGACAGCTGCCACTGGGGGTGCCCTTTCAAATATTAGAGACGAGATCCAAGTCGCTCATCGCATGCAATATGCTTTTATCTTATCTGGATTTATATATATCGCCTTAAGTTCAAGGCACTTTACGATGATACAATTGTACACAAGATGTTTGTGATTAAAGAGTGAGGTTATTAAAAGTGGTGGGGTAGTTATTGTGACAGTTAGGAGGGCTGGTGGGAGTGGTTAAGGAGGGGCTGGGGTAGTGATAGGGGTTGGGGTAGGCCTGATAGTAGCTGGAAGTTGCAGTAAGATGGGCAAGGGAGAAGAGATGGGGGGTGTTTGAAGGGAGGAACAGGAGCAGGTCAGTGAAGACGATTGCTCTGTGTGCTGCAGTGAGAGTGGGTTCCTGTGGAGGCGAGCAAGAAGGGAAAAGGAATGAGAGCAAAACCGGGCACAGGGCGAAGGAGGCACAGAGAGGGACGGTCGAGATTGGGAGGTAAGAGGACGGGATGGGACAGAGCAGTAAGATATGAGAGAAGCAAGGACGAGGTGTAAACAGGGCGCTCTCTATCAAAAACAAATCACGATAGTTAGAACATCAATCCGTATGGGTAAGACGTGCGAGTTGAGCAGCACCGATGGTGGCTACGAACCTGAGCGAGCTCATAGTAGCCGGCGGAGCAGGCGAGGCACAGCAGGCTCTCGCCTTCCTCCGTGGTCTCGTGCACGCTACGGCCCTCCCCCAGCAGCTTACGCACCGCGTTCACATCGCCGTCCGAGCACGCCTCCGCCAGGCTCCGGCTGCTCGCGCCACGAGTCGCAACGCAGACGCAAGCACGCGGGGAACACGCAAACGCACGCGGAATCACGCAAACGCACGCACGGAATCACGCAAACACACGCGGAATCACGCAAACGCACGCGGAATCACGCAAACGCACGCGGAATCACGCAAACGCACGCGGAATCACGCAAACGCACGCACGGAAGCACCAAGACGCACACGCGCAGGCACGCACACACGCAAGACAGACACGCAGATTGAAATACCCAGACCCAGACACGCAGGCATGCAGATCGGCAGACACACACACATGACGCACACACAAGACAGACGCACGCACGCAGACACGCTGTTAGTAAGCACCGCGCAACCCTCCGCGCACCTCAAATCAGTCTTCCCAGGTCACTCTTGCAAATGAGGCTTCTTCATTATTAATACGATTCCGCTTGTTAACCCAAGAAGCCTCATCGAATCTCAAGACGATCAGTAGGGTCCTGACTAGTTTTCGTAATCAGGGGAAATGCTGCCGCTGTGTGTAATCCAAATAGGGTAATTTTAAGGTAATGTTAATGCATTGAGATGTTTGACCAATAGCAGTGCATACCTGTCAACCCCTTATCAGTGCCTACCTTATTAGAGACCAATTCAGAGCTTACTGGTCACCCCGTGCCCTTATAAATCTCAACGTTCATCCTATCAAGTCCCATCACAAGGGAGAAACACAAACAAAGACCATTTTTTTGCCCGTATTGAAACGGCTGTACATGATATGGATCTGAAAGCTCAATTTCCCTGTACAAGAATACGGGTAAACTGTATGGGTTGACAGGTATGGCAGTCACATTTAATTTATTATTTTTGGGGGCTTTGAAAGGAAACCGAGAAAACCCGGAGGTAACCAACTCCACAGAGCGGTGCCCGAGTCGGGAACCAAAACCAGGATTTGCTTTGCTGTGCGGCACAAGCGTCACCACTGCACCACCCTGCTGCCCTACGACTTCCATCTTGTCTCTCGAGTTATCACCCCGGTTAAACAAAATAAACGTCAACTTCTCTAGAGCCAAAAAAAGTCACACTTAAGAGCTGGGACGATTAGTTGTTCGCGCCGTTGATTTAAGCAACACAAAATTTCGACCAACTACTTCGAGTGACCGATTGCTCCGGCCGCTTAAAAGCGGCGACAGTCGTCACACCCTGGCAGCTCCCCCGAAGGCAGGAAACCCCCTACGAGCCACGTCCAGCGTGACGCGGCTGATGATGCCGATGGCATCACCGAGCCCCTGCCCTTTACCTCCCATCCAGCGGGTACATAAGAACAGAGGTGAGACTATTTTCCAACAATGTTCGAGTTATTCGATTAGTCGAGATATTAAATAAAATAATCGTAACGATCACTTAACATAATTGCATGGCGTAGCTCTAAGCACGGTGGCGACTGGGGTGGTAGCGATGTTGATGGTGGTGGCGGCGGCAGTGATTGAGATCGTGGTGGCGCCAGTGACGTGACGGTGGTAGCTGTGACGGTAGCGGTGTTGGTTATGGTGGTCGCGATGGCAGTGTCAGTGGTGGCAGTAGTGGTGGTGATAGCAGCGGGAGGAGGCGGTGTCGGTGCTGGTAGTTGGCGGTAGGGGCGGCGGCAGGGGCGGCAGGAACGGGAGGGGGCGGGAGTGACACTCACTTGTCCGGCTGGCCCGTGGCGGCGGCGGTCTCGGCACGCATGCGGGTGAGCGCGGCGGCCGCCTCGTCCAGCGCACAGCTCACGGACGACGTCAGGCGGCGCAGCACCTCTGGATCTGTGAAGGCTTTGCCATCGGCCGTGGACAGTTTGCCAATTCCTTTTGTTAGCCAAGCCCAGCAGCAGCAGCAGTCATTCATGTGCCGTGTTCATGCCCACCCGAAAAAATAAATAAACCCAACCCCATCCATCCCACAAAGGCCCCCCCCCGAGTAATTCCCACGCGATGTTCACGGTTTTGTTTGTTCGCCACACAGCGGTCAGGGCGGCAGGCGTTAGTAGGGCGGGCAGGCAGGCAGGCAGGCATACGCACGACACACACAAGAAGACAAACATGAAAACGTGTCAGCGGTTAGCATCCAACCCAAGCTGCGGTAACAACAAGTCCATGACCAGTTTCAAGAACCGCAAAACCGATGACCGCACGCCCCGTACACACTCAAATTCACATAATACGGTGTAAAAAGTTAATAGGTTCACGTGACAAGTGCAATTCATCGTTAAGGAATGAGAAAATGAGAGCCAGCGGCACACAACTCAATGTGTTCAAACGAAACGGTTTTGACTAATATCCGCAAAGAGACACAAACATTTTGATTTAAAGCTTTCGTGACTGCAGTAATTCATATTCTTAGTTCTTTCGGTAAAGTCACGTTGAAGGGAAACAACAAAATAATAAAATATATATAAAACAAAAAAATTATCACGTTTCGACCATAACACAAACGGTCGTCAACACACCTGAAGACGACCGTTTGTGTTATGGTCGAAACGTCGTGAGAATTTGTATTGTTTTATATATTTTTTATTATTTTGTTGTTTCCCTTCAACGTGACTTTACCGAAAGAACTAAGAATAAGACACAAACATGCGTTGTGTTCTTGTGATCGTTTAGCAATGGTCTCACCAAACGTATTTGTTTAAAAACAATAAGGGGGGGGGGGTGAGTGGTCAACGCTGCCGCAGCAGTTAATCAATGTAATGTCTCGATTTAAAGCTTTCGTGACTGCAAGGATTCATCTTCTTTGGTTCTTTCGGTAAAGTCACGTAGAATGAGAATAAAATAATAAATTGATAAAATAAAATAACACAATAATATTCTCACGACGTTTCGGCCACAACACAAGCGGCCTTCATCAGGTGAAGGGACGAGACTGTCTGGTAGGACAGCACTGGAGTGAAAAAGCCAGTGAAAAGCCAAGCGTGGCTTTTTCACTCCAGCGCTGTCCTACCAGACAGTCTCGTCCCTTCACCTGATGAAGGCCGCTTGTGTTGTGGCCGAAATGTCGTGAGAATATTATTGTGTTATTTTATTTTATCAATTTATTATTTTATTCTCATTCTACGTGACTTTACCGAAAGAACCAAAGAAGACAGTGTAATGTCCTTTGTGGCACGACGAGGATAGCCAATTGAGAAATGACAACACAGCCTGGCGATTGCTACCCTTGCCAGATGTTCCCACCACCACCACCACGCAGAGGTAGGCACCGCAATACCCATCACGCCCATCGTTAATAGCAATATCACATCACGTATGCATTTTGTGCTGTGTGCAACAAACATTATGCAACCGAATCATTTTGCACGACATTTCATTTTCGACCGACATAGGGGCTTTAACAATGCTCCATTATTCTCAACAACAACAAAAACACAGCCTTCCTTATGGAATGTTCACGACGAAACTGAGCCACAGTGCTTTGGATGAGAGGATTTGGCACGGCGAGATCGAGTCTGGTGGACGCTGCACTGCCGGACAGCGCCTCTGGTAGCAGGACGAGCGATGTGAGCGCATCGCGCACGACACAATTCTACCCACGCATTGCAAGCTTCTGGATTTATATTAATTGACAAATTGATGCATAGTCACAGCTCAAGCGACGATAACCTTTACCGAAAGGGGTCAATAACACGAAATAACCACGAGATATTGTTGTGGAGAATATAAGGAACAATATGAGCAAAAAATGCCGCCTCCTTTCCCGAGCTTTCTTTCCACATCAAACATTAAAGGAAAAATATTTTTGCACATTAACCACAAGGTCTTCTGGGAATGCAGAATATCAGCAGCATTGGAACAGTGCATCAATTAATACTGATGCTTAAGGCTCAAGATCTCAAGATTTAGGCGTCGAATCGCTTGCGTAAGAATCACATTCTGATAAACGATTCAAATCTTGGCCCTGGATCATGACAATTCATGGCATTTCTTGTCGGTGAGATTGAGGGGTGATGGGGAGGGGTTAGCGATTCGTTACGCCCATACCAATTAGAAACACTGTTAAAGCCCTCAATCAATGCCACTCAAATTATGAAGACGAGCATACGCAAGCGAGACGGCGCACTGTACGTCCACCAGTTAGCGTGGACACACACACACACAAGGGGCTTCCTTCGCACGACATAATTGCCTCGTCCTGGACGCCGGCGCGCAGAGCAAAGCGACTGCAAATATCGGCGTCTCGTGTTTTGCTTCCGTAACGTTATCACGCGGAGAGGACGGTGAGCAGCAATTGTCACGCAAAAGACACCACTGCCGCAGGGTGACATCATTCCACCGGTGGGGGGGAGGGGTGGGGGACTGCCGGAGACAGGAGAGGAGGGCAATCGCTGTCACTACCGGTGAGATGTAGCGATGGTGGTTGGGGGGGTGGCGGTGGCTTGGGGGCGGTGGGAAAACCCCACAGGGGCCGGGGGGGTTCGGTTAACGGCGCCAACTGAACCAAGCGGCACGATGCAAATTAATCAATAGTTCAATTAAAGTGGGGGGGGGGGGGGAGATAGGTTTGCTAACGGCCAGCGCTGCCTTGCAAGACCGATGGATGCTGATTGGGAGAGAAGACGCGCTTGAGACAAGGCACCCGGAGGATTAGCCGCCCAGCGCATGCAGCGAGCGTGGAGCAACCTGACACCCGCAAGCCGGCAGCAGACGGCGCGCACAACCCACGTGAGCGGGCACAACCCACGTGAGCGGGCACAACCCACGTGAGCGGGCACAACCCACGTGAGCGGGCACAACGTCGGCCGTGCGTCCATCCCCGTAACCAAACCCCCGTGACTGCTGGGGCTACATACCGGAGATGTCGGCCCACTCGCAGTCTTAAGAGAGAGGAGAGAATGATACGAGGTTTAAACTCGGGGCCAAATTAGCATGAGCACAGACACACCCCCCTAGAAATCGCCTGCACGCTGTTTTATCATTGCGTAACCTGCAGAGATTTGCAGAACGTGGAAAAATTCTGCAAAGCATTCCATGTGAAATGGTAGCGAGGTGCACAAGAATTGTTAAGTGCATGCAGCGGCATTACATTGCCATCGTAAGAGAGAAGCTAAACATTATTCTGTTTGAAGGTTTTAAGATATAGGCAATAATTTGTATTTATTCTAACGGCATATTTTTGTGCTATTATCATTTAGAAACACTAAAATGCGATTATTCTAACAGCTGCAATTACCAAAAAGGGAGGGAAACATTTAAAATCAAGATGTTTATATTGACTAACAAAATAATGCAACAGCGCATTTAACATTACACAATTCAGCGTTTGAATGTTGCATGTGGGTAAATACAGGCATGCGAGTTGCCTCATTATAACAGTACCACCCATAAGAAGACAAGAGTGAAAGAGGTAGGATTTTTCTTTTCCCCTACCATTTAAAAACGCCAAAACAATTTCACGGCAACATTCATGCATTCGGACCAATCCTGCGGAACACCTTTGGCATTCGTAGTTCTGAAATCGGGGCATGCTTTTCGTGTTGCCATTATTATTCTACAGCTAGATTTGCAGCACTGCAAAGCGGCAGTGGTGGCAGCTGTAGCTGGAAAAGCCTTGTGGGCAAAAATTCATGTTTTTCTGCAGCTAAAGAATGGCTCTTCCCGAGCACGGCCGTTACTACCGAACACGCTTGCACGAACCCGTGCCCTCCATTCATTAATGCACCGTTAATCAACAGATGACGATTCACCCCTCGTTTGAAGTTCGGTTCACCCAGGACTCTAAAGCTTAAGTCATGTTTTCTCGGCAAATGGGTAATGAGCGTTAGGAATGGACGTGCACACAGGTACGCGCAACAATGTGTCCCCATACAGCAAGACAAGTATTCCATTGACAATGCACGTGGACAGGAGAACTGACAATTGCCGTTCTCCTTAAAGAGTGAAAATCAAACAAGACGCCCTATATATTCTTGGTTCTTTCGGTAAAGTCACGTAGAAGGGAAACAATAAAATAATAAAAATATAAAACAATAAAATTCTCACGACGTTTCGACTGCAACACAAGCAATCATCATCAGGTGTGAAAACCACAGCAAGCCATCTGGCTACCATGAGAGATTCGTTCATGAGGCTATCCACATATACAAGCACAGAGACAATTTCAACCGAGAAGATGGATTCTGGCTTAGCAATCATTGGAAAGATTTGATAAAACATTTCAGGTCTTAATTGATTGTTCACGCTTACGGTGGCTTTCAGACAGCATACATTAATTTTTCGTCTCCCCCCTCCTCTTTTCACAACATAGATGGACTCGTCCATCTGAATAACTGCCAAATCGCCCTCCGTGGTGCTAACGTTAAAAAAAACGCCACTTTTTTCAAATTTTCTTGCTGTGGGTTTCACACCTGACGATGATTGCTTGTGTTGCAGTCGGAACGTCGTGAGAATTTGATTGTTTTATATTTTTATTATTTTATTGTTTCCCTTCTACATGACTTTACCGAAAGAACCAAGAATATGAATCCCTGCAGTCACGAAAACTTTAAATCAAAAGACGCCCTATGTTACAGACAGGCGCAGAGGGCGCGTGTTTACCCGGTTTGTGCGATTAAACTTCAAGCTTTGATAATTTGAGCAAACAAAAAACCTTGAAAGGTTTGATAACGAAGTCATGAAGAGAATCTCATTCTGTCACTATAAACACATTACAATGAGAGCTGGGATACTTCGCCAATAATGGCAATTGAATGGACTAAAACTGGCAATGTGCTACTGTATTGATATCAAACTTAAAACAATTTGGTGGCACCGCATTAGGAGTGGTGCGTGAGCACAAACAACAAAGCACGCGCATGCTTGCGTTGTTATTTTGTTTGGTCGACAACGCAGCCCCTTCAAACATGGCGGCCCGCCTCCTGAAGGCCCGCCCAGTGGGATGCAGCGACGGTGCCAGTGAGGTCTCCAATGAGGTCACCAAGGGCCCGCCCATCGCCCCCCCGGTACAGTGGCACATGTGGGAACAGAAGCGAGACTATTTTTTCCCTTCCCCTCCACAACTATGTTTCGTACCATCCGATTGGTTGAGGAATCATCGAGTGTGTATAATTAATGGGACAGCCCTACTCTACATTCTCAATAGAATGCGGTGACGTCACCCGAGCATGCGATAGCGGTGCGCTCGGCCATGAGTCTTTTTTTTATCGTTAAGCGAAGCTTCAAACTCCCGCGACCGCCCAGGGACACGCGGTGGCGGCGCCCAGGGTAGGTGGAGAACTACAAGATAGGATAGTCATTTCCTTTCGTGGTTTGTGTCTTCCTGCAATTGTGAACTAGCGTGGCACGGGCAGATAAGGCTCCACCACGTGGACTGGTACCAATGATGTCACTCCTCCTAAATGAGGAGCGATGTCACAACTTGCAAAGTAAACCGGTCTTGACTCTGTTGATATATTTACAAAACGCCCCCCCCTTCCCTCTGGTTTCTCCACAGTATGGGTCGCCACAACATGCACCATTAGGATGTGCGTGTTCAACGAGATTTTTGTTAAACTTAATTTTAAATTAAGATTCAGAAGGCCCGGCCAAAAATGCTTTATTGAACACGTAGGTTTTCACAGCCAGGACCGTGATTAATTGTACACTGGGTTAGGGCACGTGACGATCTGGCCAAATGTATGTTTTATGACCCACCACCACCCGATGCAGCCAAACAAATGTAATTTTCACGCGGTGCACAAGCGTTTAACAACGCGCCAATTAATATTGTTTCAGCTCGTCGAAAAGTTGAAGGTTGCACACCAGAGCAAAAATCTAATAATCTTGGAAAAATAGCGACAAGTACTCTGTAGAAATCATTCATCTTAATAATTAAACGTTACCCATAAAAAATATATATATATTCCTGTGGTGCATTTCTTTGGATGAATAATAAAATGAATCCCCGTGCACGGACAACCTTGGTCATGTGTAATTGCACGGCCGTGCTGTTCTCACAAACACGCCATTGACAGCACCCGCGCACACCAGATGTGCGAAAGCCTCTTGCGCAGCAGGCTCCGTACGAGCGCAGTGCTGCGTGTGTTTTCTGTGCTCGCACCGCAAAGCAAGGATCCCCTTGTGATCCCACCACCTGACCGGCACTCGCAAACGAGATCCGCCTTTGGGTGGATACCCTGTGCACGGTGTGCCTTTGTCTTTGTTTTGGAGCAGTGGCAAACACCTCACGATGAACCGACAACATCGGCGAAGCATATATCTTAACCGATGTTGGGCCCCGCGCCTAGGTCGACTCGGCCTTAAGTTAGCACCTGGTGTGGTGTATAAACATCACGACTGGAGAGAAAAAGGTGGCAGGCGCGCTTATGGCTCGCCATCCCCTCGTGTGCCGTGTTGGCCTTTACAGATGCCCGCTCATATCACATGCCAGCAGCCTGTTAAGGTTATACGCAGGATCTTCCGTCTTTGTTGTGTGGGGGGGGGGTGGGAAGGGGGGGGATTGATGTCGCAGCGGTTCACGCGCCGCGTTAATCTCGGCAGCCTGGGTGCAATTCAGGCCGTGCACGTAATCGTCCACGAGTGGTATCTCTACGAGCCGTGCGCCGGTGTTGGAGTTGCTCGGTGACAAGCGCTTGACCAACGATTTACAAGGCAAGACACGCCGCCTTCGTGTGTATGGACGTTCTGCACGTGCATATGCGCTGTACACGGGTGTGCATGCGTGCTCCGGCAGAGGGAGCAGGTGGGGGGGGGGGGGGGAAGGATCTTGTCTTTGTGCCACACGTGCACACGTGCACACGTCTCTGCCGTGTCCACGCGTGTCCACGCGTGCGTGTCCACGCGGGCGTGTCCACGCGTGCGCGTCCACGCGTCCTCGCGTGCGTTCTCACCGGCGGCCTCCAGCAGGGCCTCGAGCCGGGCCTGTGTCTCGGGGTCGACACTGCGCAGGTCCGTCCCGTCGGCCACGCTGGACAGCAGCAGCTTGGAGGCAGTGCTCTCCAGGTCCTCCTGCTCCAGGATGAAGGACTCCACCTGCTCGGAGCGACCACCACAACGGTGCACGGGCAAGGCGGCGGGAGGTGGAGACAGGAGGGGATGGAGGTGGGGGGTGCACAGGAACGAGCCATGAGAAACGCGTCGCCTCGCACGGTTTTGCCTTCTGGCTCATCTGTCAAGGCCCACTGCGCGCGCTCTGTAGGCGAGGAAAGATGAAACGCATGTATATTTTACAGCTCGCACACTGCACGGAATACTGGCCATTTCAACAGCGTACAATGCACAGACAAAGACTGCCCCTGTATGCCTATGAAGGCCAAAACGGCATACGAGAGAGTGGTGTGGATAGCCTCGCCCCCGGCCGCCTTTGTCTCCCCAGCGGTGATCGTTTATGCACCGGACCGGGCGCTCGTTTTAAGGCTGGGTCGACCTAGGGGAGGGGGCCAGGACCAGTTCAGACATTCGTCACCGATCTCGATCGCAAGCGGGAATCGGGACTCGTGTGGCCGGGCTTGCAGCACAGCGCGCGACAACCACGACGCGACCGCTCCCCGCTGTACGCATTGCGCAATAACGCGCACGCTCTGCCTGTTGCTCGTGCACAGCACAGCAACACTACAGCATGGAGACGCAGTGGCCCAGCACAAAGGAAACGGCTCGCAGAGGGCCATCAAATACAATGTTGAGTCTTTTTCTCCAGAATCATTATTTCTTCTTCTTGCCTCCGAAGCATGACAGCAACATGACAAGAACGTGCAGCGCTTAAATAAATAAATAAACGTGCGGGGCCCCCCCAGAAACAGAAAGCGGCCGCAAAAACTGCCCAAACGAGACACTTAAATCCACACCGAAAACTCATTTCTTTAGAACTGCCTTAGTGTTTAGTTTGTTGTCCCCCCCGTCCGCCGCACCTCCGATAAGCACGGTTGGCTAAGTACGGTGTGAAAGACGTTCAACATACATACATACATACTTGGGCAAGCTCACATTTACCTGGCAGCTGTGTAGAACGCACCCCCCTGAAGCCAACCGACCCCTTCCCAACCCCGTCACCCACCGTACAAACGCAACACCTGAACGCTGCCGCAAGAAGAATGCAAGAGTGGCCCGCCATGTTCAGCGGCCAGGAATGGCGCGTTGGGCGGCGACACGGTCGGGCGTCCCAGACTTTGCCGTAAGTACGCGCACGGCGGCACGCTGGCGGCAGCGAGCGCGTGTTCAAACACGGCAGGGACCGCGCCGCAGCCGTCTGCACACGGGGCGACAAAGGCAACTCTGTGCCGCTCAAAGACTCCCTTGCTCCAGGCGCATGCCAAGCAATGGGTCGAGCAAAAAATAAACTTAAACAAAGGCCCAAAAAAAAAAAAACGGCTAAGCGGTTGCGAGGGACCATCGAGGGATCATCGCACCTGCTCTCAAAAATAGCGTCTCCACAATGAACGCTCGCGTGACACCCCCCCCCGCCCCCCCCAACAAAAAGACAGCGTCGTTCATCGGGGAGCACGGTGGTTTTTATTCGTCGTTGACTGCACCGTCAAAAAATGTTCCGCAGTAGGGCTCGTGCTACTGGGGGCCAATTCTGCGGCAGACGGCACGGCAATACTTCGACCGCACATGCCCAGCGGTGGCACGCTTATCGTTGCAAGTCTCTGCGTGGGGCAGCGCGGCCAATACTCGGCGCTGTTTAAATTGGGACCAACTTCGCCGTTTGAGCCGTGGGCCCTTGTGGGAGCCTGAGAGTGGCATGGTGCTCACGACACGCCGGAGTGTCAATTCATGGCAAAACCGCAATTATTTATTGTGAATGGCAAGGTCGCGATTATTTATTACTTATTGTTAATGGCAAGGCCGTGATTATTTGCGTGTTTTGCAGAGCAATTTTCTGCTCAATTAAGCGTCGAGGTGGTGCTCGCCTACCATTTACGGGCCAGCAGAGCCAACCAATCGAAATTCCACATTACTATGGTGGGGGCGGAGTCTAGCCACGAGACAACCACCGCTGGACTTTCTCAAAAAGTGGTGCTCATTTTAATCGACCCTGGAGACAGAAAGGGATGACGGGCCAAGTCAACCCAACACGCAACATTCCGATTGCGAGCCGCTCGCTCTGCCGCTGAGACTCAACTGGGCTGGATGAAAATAAAGGACGGCCAATTAATGACAATCCCGCTGTTGTTGGTGGCTTTGGGACTTAAGACGCTGACAAAACACAATGCCTAATTATCCTAAATTAAGTGAATGATAAATACGGAGACAAACACCGATGCTCACCCTTGTTTGACATTGTCTCTTAAGAGAGAGTAATCCAAGGCAGAGGTGCTACCCCCATTGGCTACTCCTATACCCATAATTACAAATTAAAAGCCATCAATTAATGCGAGTAATTACCAATTATGGGCCAACAATCATGAGTAATCAAAGCTTGTAGCCACAATTCCTCATTAATGTCCACCTCCTACTAATGAAATGTACAAAGGTAGGAATGGGTCGAGACGTCCACAGTAAACTTGCTAAAGGTGAGTTTTATTTAAATCGCAATTTACCTTCACTGAGCAGCCTTTGTTCTACAGAGGGGAATGTACAAACAGAAATGGCTTTTATACACACAGCTCATTTCACGAGTTTTCCTGACACGATCGCAAATGATGAGCACCACGTGACTGTAGCCATTCAACATAAATACATTGAAAATGTGTCTCCTTCCCATATCTGTCTCTCGTTATCGCCATTAAAAGATATACATTTTTACACATTCCATCAGCCGCACAGAATCCTGGGAGCGCATGTTTTCAGCAGCATTGATTTAATAATACAAGCAAGGCTCTGGACTGGTTTCCACATTCAATGTCTTTATAAGCAGTCGAGACTTTCTTGAACCAATGCTGGCGAACTGCCAGATGTCAATTGTGGGTCCTACACTCAGCTGGGCACCGGTGCTTAATTTTCACTTGCCGTGCAACGCCGCAGTGTGGACGCGAGGGTTGACGAACCTCACAAATTCGTAAAAGTCACTCCCTGCCTGCGGCCATCGAGGTTGCCACCTCCTGGCTTGCCAGAGTGTGGTGGCAGCACAGCAAGTGGGTTAATATCCAACTGTATTCCATGACGTACGAGGATTGAGCGTTAACCCCCTTGTAAGCGGGGGGTTTTCTTTGGGTACTCCGCTTTCCTCTCACACGTATAAACACTCTTGAATGAATTCGGCCGAAAATCCAAATATAGGACCACAGAGCTTGGGCAATGTTGGTGCAGGCTCTGGCTCCCTACCCGCTTGTCTGTGGAGTCCTGCGCTTCTGAATTTCTCCCTCTCACCAATAGCAAACGAACTGCGCAGGTTACAAATTTAGCAAGACAAGCAGTGGCTGCGAGGCACGCGACGCTGCGGTGTGGTGGACCTAGCGATAACGACACTCACTGCCGTGGAAATATCCCAAGGGGATCAGTCAAGAGATGACTCGGAGCTGTCGCTTATCTTGAGGAGTCACGAGGGTGTTCATGAAGTTTACTGCCACCTGGAGAACCAGCAGCCAAACCCTCCTTGGCTCAGGGCAGCCAGAATGGCAAGCGCCGTGATGTACGGTTTGCGCAATGGGCAGTTTCCAGAGCGACTTTGTGAATCCGCTCACAGCACAGTGACCTCTGGGCTGAACAGCACATGTGCACGTATCCTTCTTGTAGTATGAGCTACATTCCAAAAGTCTGAGTTGTGGAGCTCACCGACAACCTCTGCGCGAGCAGTACCAGATTGCGAGACTTTTTGTACACAACTCATTCACAAGTTGTACGCAGGAGTAGCGCAGCAAATTATGCAGCCTTTAGGCCCACGAGCAAGAAAACGCAAAGAAACCCGAGGCAAAATGGACAGATGATCTGCAATTGTATACCCTTGAGCCACGTGCCATTTTTCTTATTTTAATAAAACATTCGTACAGGAAGAGCCGCTGAAAGGCAACATCTGGTTTACAGTGCGTTCCCGGTGACAACATTGGGTTTAAAATGGAATTGCAATGGTTATGTAAAGCTGACGTAATGTGCTAAATAATGTACGCTGGGAACATAAATTTTCGGCAGACAGAAAATGCCAGGCTTTTCCAGACATTCCAATCGCTGGGCCGCATTTTTTAAGTCGTCAACAAAACTGTATCGGGCACCTTAAAAATGGCACATTGATCTGCCAACGTATTTAAAAGCCCGGCACGCACAATCCCCCTGGTTATTTTAACCGGCTTTAAGCAGCTGGCTCAACACCGAGAATACACCGAGTCTTAGGGCTTAGCGGGCCAACGTGAGTCGCTCGCCCCTCGGGGACCAACCCAGCTCTGAGCACTCCAGCCACTGCACGGGCAGCCGGTGCAGACACAGCCGGAGCGGTGTCCTGCTCAAACGCACGCGGGACGGCGCTCATCTCCTTGCTTCCAGCTCGGGCCGCTGGTGGAAAATCCACATTCCTATGACGGAAGTGAGTCCACGTACAGGACAACTCATGACATCCCCCTGTGGATGGGCAACTAGCATGAAGAAACAAACGAAAAAAATGGAAACAACCAATATTTGTGCTGGAATATGCACGCACGTCCCTATTGTCAATCCACCGCTGGATTGAGGCCTCCCCCGTGCTGATCATTGGGGTTTTGCTTAAACTGCGCGAGCTTAACTCCTTGCAGGAACAGAGACAGACCGCCTAGCGTGGATTGGAGGCCACTGCAGGGACTTCAGAAGCACATTGTGACGGCAGCTTCCAGCACACTAGTGATGCACTGCTTCCTGCAAGGGCCTTGTTCTCCATCTCATGCCATGGCGTCCGTTAGTACATTTGCAATACGATTGGGATGAAAACGGCAGCCACTCAAATATATAAGTATTTTATGGAACAAAACAACCATGTCACTGTTGCAAAAAAATATAGTTTTAGGATTCAAAAGTGAATTATATGCCTGTTTTATTGGTATCAGAATGATGTAGTGGTAAACACTTGTCTCACAGCAACAATTCCCTGGGTTTGAATCCCGACCATTGAATGCTCTCCCCCCTGCTCT